ATGTAGATGAAATGTCAAAAGCGTCAGTATATGACGCCTTGGGATGAGACCGGGCTGAAATATCCTCTATGCAACGAGTTCTTATTTTAATGAAGTTTGTGTTTAGTAGATAAAGAGCATGTAACTCCAAAACATATGAAATATTTGCAGACTAACCCTTTGGACACAGTAACCAGCTGCGAGTCTCTGTCATTTCAGTTCCTTCTGCCTGCAGCATAAATCAATCACATCAACACATCATAGATACGCAGCATTAAGATCATGAGCAAATGATGACGTGCGCTGACCTTTACGAGTAGACTTCGTGTGACCGTGTCAATGCGTCCTCTCTCCGGGACGCTCACAATCTCATTGTCGCACACAGTCTGGGACGCCTCTGCCTCTGCACTGACTGTAATGTTCAAGACTCCTACAACACAAGACATATACTGTATACATCAAGATACAACACAGCATCAGCAAGGCCTACAGGACTGCCGCATACTGGATGTTTTTCCCAATTCACACCATTCTTTGTAAACCCTAGAAATGGTTGTGTGTGAAAATCCCAGTAACTGAGCAAATTGTGAAATATTCAGACACCAACAACCATGCCATGCTCAAAATTGCTGAAATCACCTTTCTTTCCCATTCTGACATTCAGTTTGGAGTCCAGGAGATTGTTTTGACCAGGACCACACCCCTAAATGCATTGAAGCAACTGCCATGTGATTGGTCGATTAGATAATTGCATTAACGAGAAATTGAACAGGTGTTCCTAATAATCCTTTAGGTGAGTGTACATCTCTTCAGTGGGTTGTGTTTTTGAAGTGTTCTGCTGACGAATGGTCGATAAGTGAATATTTAAAAAATAAAATAAAAACGGACGAAACACGCTTGAACCATATCATGAGTGTTATATTGAAAATGTATGTTTTACAATTTGCAGTATGACATAATCCATTGCTAAATTATGGCTCATCATAGACTAGCTAACCACAAAGCTAGCTAATGCCACTATCATCAGTCTGTTCTGTTGTGACAATAAATTAAACAAGTTTCTTTTTAAAAACTCATAAATAATTACAAATAACTAATGTTAGGGAAATCTGTTAATGTTTTGTTGCGCGTTTCTAAAAAAAAATAAAAAATAAAAAATATCGGCCGTTATATCGGAATATCGGATTTTAAAACCCAAAATATTTGTATCGGTATCGGCCTTCAAAATCCTTTATCGGTCGGGCTCTATTTTGCGATAATGACTATAACTAATATGCCTGTTCCACTTATTGTGCGAGGGAAAATAAAGCTCTTGTCGTATAACATCTGTTAACAGAAACCCCATCATTTTGCAATAGTTTTTATCCACATTTAAAAAACATTGCAAATCTGTAATGAAAAGGCGGCTACTGGAAAACTCACCAAGAACAGAGGGAGTGAGGATCCATTTAAAGGTTTTTCTTCCATTAGCACACAGACAGGATGAATATTGATCATCAGGCTTGGGGGCTTGGAGAGTGTAGTCTGAGGAAGCAGCTGGAGTCACTCTAACCTGTCAATCAAACACACATGATTAGTGGCATATTTGACATGATTTGATTAGACTGCGTCTGAAATCTCACCATGATGCACTTGGACAGATAGTTGAAGACAGTGGCCTTCAGCTCAAAGATCTCCCCGCGGATGATGGAGTAAGGCAGGGAGAGCTCTAGGAAGAAGGGCTGGAAAACTGTCAGCTGAGCAGGAGGAGCCAGACCCAGACCTTCAGAGGACAGGCAGAAGACCTCCGTCTCCCAAGAGGTGATGGTGTCAGGAACCGTGACAGGAACCTGAGCTGACCCAGAGTCCCTGTGGACGGAGGAATTACAACAATAGGCATATTTGACCATTTTTCCTGTAATAACAATTCAATAAACAACATTCAGCGCACAGAAAACTGGATTAAGAATCTGCAAAGCAAGCAAGGTATTTTCTATCCTGTGGGTAAGAGGGGGAGATGATGTATTAAATATAAGTAATAAGATAAATATGATGTTAAATGTATTATGCTTCGGGGGGGCGCTAGCGAGCAGGCAATGGAGTAGGTTGCAAGTTTAGAGAGCTCTGCACAATTGTATTTTTTTTTACCCTTTTGAATGGTGCTTTGGCAAATTGTGTGATACAAAAAGACTACCCAAGACTGTTCTGCATCTTCGAAGACGATTTACTTCCTGATAAATGTAAATGGCGAGCAACCTGCGCAAATACAAATATACGGGCAAGGCCTCTGCTAACAAGACGAGCGCCGACACACCTAGTGTTAGCGACGTAACTAACACGACACCCGAGATGGCTGAACAAGGTGAACAAGCTCAACAAACTCGAGAACAAACTGATATGACGATGGAGACGAAGGAAGAGTTACTGTCCTCTATAAAATCAGAGATGACCACACTTTTCCAAACCGAGTTAAGATCAATCATGGCTAAAGAGTTTGACGGAGTCAGATCAGAGCTACAAGCAGTTAGGCAGGAGATAGCAAACAACACATCAGCTTTTCGGTCAGAACTGGAAGTGATCAAAACAACTGTGTCGGACATGGAAAGAGGACTCTCAGGATGTTCGGATGATGTCACGGAGCTACAAAACTCCGTGCGCAGGCTGGAGGGAAATGTTCAAAATCTACAGGAGAAATGCTTGGACATGGAAGGCCGTATGCGGAGGTCAAACATCCGCATTTTGAATGTAGCTGAGGAAGATGGCTCCAGCACCCCTTCTTCTGTTTCAAGGCTGATTAAAAAAGTTCTTAAAATGGATAAAGACGTGCTGATCGACAGATCCCATCGCACTTTACAGGCGAAACGGATGGATGGCAAACCAAGAGCTATTATAGCAAAATTACACTATTATCAAGATTGTGTCGAAATCCTCCGCCTCGCACGGGAATCTGGCCCGCTACAACATAACGGCTCAACCATACTCATCTTTCCTGATTATCCACCAAGTGTAGCCCGCGCCAGGTCGGCGTTTAACGAGGTCCGTAAACTTCTTCGAGGTCGAGAGGGGGTCCGCTATGGTCTCCTACATCCAGCCCGATTCCGGATCACGTACAATGGGACGGATAAGCAGTTTCAAGACGCAACGGAGGCCATGACGTATGTTAAGAACAATATTCTGCGTGAGGTGGCTTAGCTTCGTTTTTTTCTTCTTTTTCTTATCTCTATTGGCAGCAGACTGTCTTTCTGATGAGTGCACGAACTTAAGTTTGATAAACAACAATGCAAAATATAACAGGCGTGCTGATATGGGACTACAGTTAAGTTATTTTCTTTGTTTCTTTATTATTATTATTATCATTATGTTTTACCAATCTTAAGGTCTGTTAGGAGATAAAAAAGCACTACTTTTATTTATTTTTATTTTTTTTATTTATTATTATTATTTATTTTTTTTTGATATATTGGGGTTATATTAAAATAATTTTATTAACATGTATGTGCAGAGCAAGCTGCAGAGCTAGAGTTCTCTAAAAAAAGCACTTTATGTGTGGATTTGTTATTTGCAAGGGGTTATTTTTTCACCATGTTCTAGTTGGTGACTGGGGAAATTACTGTTGCACTAAACTGATTGCTTTTATTTTTTGTTTTGCTAACTCTGGGTTAGGGAAGGAACTCTCTTATGTTTACATTGCACAAATGTTACTTGGGATCCGTACTACCATAATTTATAAATACTCAACACTAATATAAATGAACGCTCACACTGATGTATCAGGTACTTGCCAGATAAACCTTGTTAGTTGGAATGTTAAGTCTCTAAATCATCCAGTGAAACGCCGAAAAATACTCTCACACCTTAAGGAGCTGAATGCAGATGTCGCCTTTCTGCAAGAAACCCATTTGAATACATCTGACCATTTTAGACTTAGAGGAGGATGGGTGGGACAAATTTTCCACTCTATGTTTCATTCTAAATCTAGAGGAACAGCTATCTTGATCAAAAAGACTATCCCATTTGTAATGTCAAAAGTTGATGCTGACTCTGCTGGCCGTTATATAATAGTAGTGGGCAGATTGAACAATACCCCAGTAGTTCTGGCGAATGTGTACGCACCTAACTGGGATGACAGTGCATTTTTTACCAGCCTCTTCTCTCGAATACCTGATATAGATACACATCATGTCATATTAGGAGGAGATATTAATTGTGTACTGTCGCCTTCACTGGATCGCAGTTCACCCAAGACCATGCAACTAACTCGTTCAACAGCAGTACTTAATCAGCTTCTTAAAACGTACGGAATGACTGATGTTTGGCGCTTTCAGAATCCTGGGCGCAGAGGCTATTCCTTCTATTCACCGGTTCACAAAACATATTCTCGAATCGATTATTTCTTTGTTGATAATAGTTTACTTTCTAGAGTCAGTAAATGTGAATACCAAGCAATAGTGATATCAGACCACGCACCACTGTTAATTACTTTAAACTTGCCTACCACAAGCAGTGGGTATCGGCCGTGGCGATTTAATACATTACTTCTCTCAGATACTGAGTTTGTTAAATTTATTTCTAAGGAAATACATGAGTTTTTAGAACATAACCGGACCCCAGGGGTGTCCTACTGTCTAATTTGGGAAACGTTAAAAGCCTATCTCAGAGGCCAAATCATATCATATAGTGCCCGTGTAAAGAAAAAACAACAGGAAAGGCTTAAAAAGATAGAAATTGATATCTTGCAAATAGATGGGGTCCTCTCACACTCGCCATCAGTCGATTTATTTAAGAAACGATTGGCTCTTCAGACAGAATTCAATTTGTTATCTACAAAACTTATTGAGAACCTTTTGAATAAATCCAGACACAAGTCTTATGAACATGGCGAAAAGATAGGGAAAATCTTAGCTCATCAACTACGGCAACAAAGTGTTGACCAGCTAATTCTCGAAATTATTGATGAACACGACAAAAAACTTACTGATCCATTAGAGATTAATAATAGGTTTATGGAGTATTATTCGCAATTATATACATCGGAATCCAGTAGAAATGAAGTACTGTTTGACTCATTTTTTAGCAAATTTACTCTACCTACTATTGATGAACAATATGCCTCAGATTTGGAAAGACCATTTTCAAAGGCCGAAATATTGAAAGCAATTGCCACCATGCAAAGTGGAAAATCGCCGGGGCCAGATGGTTTTCCGAGCGAATTTTTCAAAAAATTTTCATCTGAACTCTCCCCTATTTTACTCGCTGTCTATGAGGAGTCCTTCATCTCAGGGTCGCTACCAGAAACCATGAGACAAGCAGTTATTTCTTTAATTCATAAAAAGGGTAAAAGTAAATTAGATTGTAGCTCATATCGACCTATCTCATTGTTAAATGTTGATAGTAAAATATTTGCCAAAATTTTAGCTTGTCGATTAGAAATTGTTATACCTTCAATAGTGTCTAATGATCAGACTGGTTTTATTAAAAATCGATATTCATTCTATAATATACGCAGACTTTTGAATATTCTCCATTATCCCACTCCACCCGATATACCTGAGGTGCTTCTGTCACTTGATGCTGAAAAAGCATTTGATCGGGTGGAGTGGGACTACCTCTTCTATACCTTGAAGAAATTTGGCTTTGGTGCCAAATTCATTTCATGGATTAATGTTTTATATTCCTCTCCTGTAGCAGCAATTCGGACAAACAATAGCATCTCATCCTTTTTCCAATTAGGCCGCGGGACTAGACAGGGTTGCCCATTATCCCCCTCATTATTTGCACTGATGATTGAGCCCCTGGCAGTGGCAATACGGTCCGATAATACTATTAAAGGCATACTGAGGGATGGATCAGAACATAAAGTGTCCCTTTATGCGGATGATACCCTCTTGTATGTGTCTGACCCGCTAAAGACCCTGCCTCATCTACTGTCATTACTTGATAGTTTTGGTAAAATATCAGGATATAAAATAAACATGCAAAAAAGCGAACTTATGCTGATTAACACTGCAGCCAGACTAATCTCATTTAACTCCTTACCGTTTAAATTGAGTAAAGATAAATTTAAGTATTTGGGTATATGTATTACTAATAATTACAAGAACCTCTATAAAACTAATTTTATTCCATTGATAGATTCTATAAAACAAGATTTTGAGCGTTGGGGTACATTACCGCTATCACTAGGAGGCAGGATAAGCACTGTCAAGATGAATATCCTACCTAGATTTCTATATCTGTTCCAGTGTATCCCGATATTTTTAACTAAATCGTTTTTCCTACTGATAGACAGGCTGATATCAACTTTTATATGGAATGGGAAAAATGCACGCATCCGTAAAAGTGTTTTGCAGCGACACCGAGACCATGGAGGACTATCATTACCCAATTTTCAGTACTATTATTGGGCAGCCAATGCTCGTTCTATGTTATACTGGTTTAACTCGCATGCAAGTGGTCCTAAATGGCTGTCCCTTGAGAATCTGTCATGCCATCCCGCTTCTTTACATGCATTGCTCTGCTCAACATTGCCATCACCTAATCCAATATCTAAATACTCTCTGAATCCAGTGATTAAACACTCCTTCAAAATATGGGGACAGTTTAGAAGACATTTTTCACTTAAAGACATGTCAGTCTTCGCTCCCATAGCAAGAAATCACATGTTTACTCCTTCTATTATAGATGATTCTTTCGATGCTTGGTCTGTAAATGGCCTCAGGGTACTAAAGGATATGTATATTGATGGCACTTTCGCAACCTTTCAGCAAGTGAAATCTAATTTCCAAATTCCCAACACTCACTTCTTCAAATATCTTCAACTTCGCAGTTTTGCTGCTTCATCAGTTAGTCACTTCCCCTCATTACCACCTGAGTCACTTCTTGAGACAGTTCTAAAAGTGAATCCATACTCCAAGGGGCCATTGGTAAAATATATAGGGTAATGAATACTCATAATATGGGACCTCTGGCTCACGTGAAAAGATTGTGGGAAGAGGAACTGTCTATAGGAATCTCTGAGGATGTATGGGAACTTATATTGAAAAACATTCATTCATCTTCAATATGTCAAAGACATCGAGTGATTCAATTTAAAGTTGTTCATAGACTGCATTGGTCTAAAGTAAAACTGGCAAAATTTAAATCAGACATAGATCCTCACTGTGATAGATGTGAAGCCGAATCAGGTACTTTGTCTCACATGTTTTGGCTCTGTCCAAAACTTGAAGTTTTTTGGAAGTCTATATTTAAATTTATTTCCGACACTTTGGGGACAGTCATAGAGCCTGAAGCCATGATCTCTGTATTCGGCATTGTACCGCAACATTTTCACTTAAATCAAAACAACAAAAGCCTCATAGCATTTACTACTCTTTTAGCTCGACGGCAGATACTGCTAAAATGGAAAGATAAGCGCCCTCCAACTTTCAAAATGTGGCTTATTGATCTCTTGTACAATCTTACCATGGAAAAAATAAGGTATGCTACAGCAGGCTGTGCCTATAAATTTTTTGATATCTGGCAACCGGTTCTGGACCAAATTAGGAAGGTGGATCCCTCTCTACTCTCAACTTCAGAGGAGTAATATATTGTACTTGTGCTTTCTTCTCTAAAACATGTAAATGAATGTTTTTTCTTCTTTTTTTTTCTGCTTTTCAAATTAATATGTGTATTTATGCAACAGGTGGGGATTGCTCTTGGGTGGGTGGGTTAACATAAAAAATAAAAAAAAATGTATTGTAAAAGTGTATCTTATGTTTGATAAGATTGTTCAATAAAAAACACTTTGAGGAAAAAAAAATGTATTATGCTTCAAATACCCCACTTCAGCAAGTTCCCAGATCCACGTTTCTGGGAAGACAGTCCGAATCGTCACGGCTGGAGAATCAGTTGTATCATGAGATAAACCCCTTTGTCCATACGGGAATGCATTTGGCAGGGAAAAATACACTGGAAAAAAAGTGATATTTGGCAGTTTTAAGTGATATGTATGTGAACACGTCAAAATGATCAATTCTAGTGAATAGAAGGCCGATAATTGTTTTAATACACATTTTTTTACACATATCAGTTTATTTAGTTTTAATGTAACCCCTTACACCCGGGTCCTACTCGCCCCGCTCCGAGCGGGCCTCGAACCCGGGTCTCCGGCATGAGAGTCAGGCGCTCTAACAAGGAGGCTAAAGACTGCAGCCTCTAGCGTCTGTCGCTAGAGCGCCTTTTGAGATCGGGGAGTGAGGTTTACTCGCACAGCAACTACTAGCTGGCCTCCGTTACACTCACCCCCCTAAACCTCACTCTCATCCGGGTCACGGCACCAATGTAACCCCTCACACCCGGGTCCAACTCGACCCGCTCCAAGCGGGCCTCGAACCCGGGTCTCCGGCATGAGAGTCAGGCGCTCTAACAAGGAGGCTAAAGACTGCAGCCTCTAGCGTCTGTCGCTAGAGCGCCTTTTGAGATCGGGGAGTGAGGTTTACTCGCACAGCAACTACTAGCTGGCCTCCGTTACATTAGTTTTAGTATTTTAGTAGCCTGGATGCCAGCCCGAACTCCGCCCACAACATTTGGGACTCGATCCATTGAGGAGTAATTATGATCAGGCAAAAAATGAACGGGCCAATCAAATTGCCAGGGCGGGCTTTAAACGATGATGGACAGATGATCTGCAGGGACGTAATCATCACGTTATCAAAGAGCGCGTGTCAAAGATGACTGCAGATGGAGAATTGAGATGTATAGATTCCGCTGTCGCGTCTGTTGTAAAATAAAATGACAGCGCATTAATTTCAATAGAAAAAACAGAGAACTGCAATCAAGGCATTTGTCGATCGGAAAGATATTTTTGCCGTCCTTCCAACATGATTCGGGAAAAGTGTAACTTATCAGCTGGCTCTGACGGTCGTTAAGAAGATGGGACGTAATGAAAAGCCTGTGGTCGTTGTGGTTTCTCCTTTGGTGGCACTCATGGACAGTGTTGGGTTTTAATTACTTTTCCTTGAAAATGTAAAGTAAAGGATTACTCTTCATTTATCTGGAATTTAATTACAGTTACTTCTGATGTAATGGAGGTAAATACTGTGTATAGATCAATCGGATCTCACAGCGATTCGTATGCTTTTTATGAGGTGTCTAAATCGTACGACCGCACTCGTACAAATTCGTATGAATTATTGTAAAAAATGTATGAAAAAAGTGTGAAATGTCATGAGATTAGACATAAAACAATAGTGGGTTTAACATCAAAATGTATTGTCTGATGTTAAAAAGTAGCCTATGTTTTTATAATGTAACCTTCTCCACCTTGGATAATACATGGAATTTTATATTTGTTTGAAAGAATTAAAACAGATTCATGTCTATCCTTGTATTATCCAGCTGTTTGAGATTGATATAGGATTTTGAAAGTAATTAGTAATTAAAAGTAATTAAATACTTTTTAGAGAGAGTAATTAGTACAGTAATCTAATTACACTGTTGCAGAGGTAATTAGTAACTAGTAATTAATTACTTTTTTAGAGTAACTTACCCACCACTGCTCATGGAGAAGTAAGTAAAAGAAGCAACACTCGTTATTTTACTTCTAAAATAAGTAAGCTCTATAATTGAAAATTGCGCTATGCAAAGGAGTTGACTTACTGCGTTGCTCTGATTGGTTGTAGGTCTACCGACTACCCGATTGAGTGCAGGGTTTTTTTTCCCCTGGTTCGGTTAAGACACACCTCATAATCAAAGCCGGAGGAGTTTCAGACTCATATTCTCTCTAGAATATGAGTATTACGAAGTCAGTCTAGTATTTTAGAGCTGCAAAAGTTAACTTGTTAATTTTATTTTACAAAAGTTATGTCTTACCAATATTAACACAGATTCAAAGTTCACAAAAACCTCCCCCCAAAATTTGTGGAAACCATTGTTTAACAATTTGAACATATTTTATTTTTTTTTATATATTTTTCATAACAAGCACCAACATATTAAAACATTACAGTTTGGATTGTAATGACAGTACATGTATACCTACCTATGTCACAATTAGGGAGTTCCACAATCAAATTTGTTGCCATCTTCAATCCCACTCTCTGTTAAATGGCAATGATGAACCACAATAAAAGTAATGAAAATACAAATCACTATTAAATATAATCAAAAGGGCTTTTTATGCATTGAATTACAGATATGCAGTATATGCTCTCCTCATCATTATCTAGTGCACTGACACACATATCATCCAACTGTTACCTTTAAGGATTCATAAGTTAATGTGCGCGTCTGGAAATGCATATCGAGACACTCATCCTCTTCACGAGTCTCAGGGTAGTCTGACCACGATTGCACTGGCAGCAGGTTGAAGATCTGTGACGGGACCATGTTCACACACTATCAGTATGATTTCTAAATAATACATACATGTATTTCCAACAAAAACGTTATTTCCATTTTGGTGAGAAAGAATGAAGATCAAAGGGATAGTTCACCCCAAAAATGAAAATAATGTCATTAATGGCTCACCCTCATGTCGTCCCAAGCTTGTAACAGAAAGCTCTCGGACTAAATCTAAAATATCTTAAACTGTGTTCCTGAAGATGAACGGAGGTCTGACAGGCTTGGAGTTGGAACGACATGAGTGTGAGCCATTAATGACATCATTTTCATTTTTGGGTGAACTAACCCTTTAATGTTAAATCTCCAGGGATCAAGATGTTAGCTGGTGGATCATAGTAATAAATAAAATAATAATAATATGTTTATTTTATATAGCGCCTTTCAGAGTACTCAAGGTCGCTTTACAAATATGTACAAATAAACATGACATAGAAACATGACATAGACCTAAAAATTGAATGAGATAAGGAGAATCTTGTAGTTAATATGAAAAAGTAGCGGTAGCCAATGAAGTCTGCGTAAAATCGGAGTAATGTGGGAAGATTTCTTTGTGTATGTAAGGACCCTAGCTGCGGAGTTGCATTTTTACAGACAAGTTGGGTAAGCCATAAAAAAGAGAATTGCAGTAATCAAGCCATGATGTGAAGAAAGCATGAACCAAGGTTTCAGCATCGCCGATGTTCAGAAATGTACGCAAGCGTGTGATATTACGAAGGAGAAAGAAGGCAGACTTAGTGAGAGAGGAAATGTGTTGAAGGAGAGAAAAAAAATAGATGGATCAAAGATTATACCAAAGATTATTTTTGACAGTAGAGGAAGGTTGAACCGAGACTCCAGCAATATGAACATTGTCAACAAAGAAAAGGGGTGTAAATCGAGGTAGATCTGTTTTATCAGTGTGGAGTTTGAGAAAACGACTGGTCATCCAAGCATTTAATCAATTCAACTGTATATAGCAGCAATAAGTATATAAGTCTGTAATAGTATAATAAGTTTGTTATAACAAGATTTACACTGTAGATTCCCACTGTGAAGACACATTTAATCAACATTGAATCTTAAAGCATCTACACCTTGTCAGCATCCAGACGTTCTCCTGACTTCAGGATCAGGACGCTCTGATCTACAGCACTGAGGCCACACAGTGAACCAGGCTGAGCTGAGAGCTGGAGAGTGTTTCTCTCACCAGGAACTGCTTTACCAGGAGAAAACCGCAGAGATACCTGTGAAATACAGGAATAGGATTTACGCTAGAATTGAGTTATACAGTTTAAAGAGGCTAATTTCTAAAACTACAATGCGTACCTTGTTTTTGAAACACTTTTCAATTTCAACATTTTTGCTACTAGCAACAATGGTTTCACTGGGCAGAAAAACACAGTACGCCAGAATCTGAATTACAGGAGCCAGATCTGCACTAATAGAGAGTTTGAACGACATTGAGCCCTTCGCTCCATCAGAAATCTTCACTTCAACCTTCTCGTATCCATGATGAACAATCACTCCTCTGGACAAGACCTTAAACAGACAGATAACAAACTGACTCATGCAGCAAACATCTCTGTAATAATGTTCATACTAGTGATGGGGACGAGACCGCCTATACCGAGTCCGAGTCGAGACCGAGTCTTTGAAGGGTCGAGCCCGAGACGAGACCAAGTCAGTTGGTTTTCAAATACAATCGAGACCGTCTTTGAAGGGTCGAGTCCGAGTCAAGACCGAGTCTTTGAAGGAGTCCGAGTCAAGACCGAGTCTTTGAAGGAGTCCGAGTCAAGACCGAGTCTTTGAAGAGTCGAGTCCGAGTCAAGACCGAGTCTTTGAAGGGTCGAGTCCGAGTCAAGACCGAGTCTTTGAAGGATCGAGCCTGAGACAAGACCAAATCCGTTGGTTTTAAAATACAGTCGAGTCCGAGTCAAGACCGAGTCTTTGAAGGGTCGAGCCCGAGACAAGACCGAGTTCGTTGCTTTTCAAATACAGTCCAGTCCGAGTCAAGACCGAGTCTCTGAACGGTCGAGCCCGAGACGAGACCGAGTCCGTTGGTTTTCAAATACAGTCGAGACTGAGTCTTTGAAGGGTCGAGTCCGAGTCAAGACCGAGTCTTTGAAGGGTCGAGCCCGAGACGAGACCGAGTCTGTTGGTTTTCAAATACAGTCAAGTCCGAGTCAAGACCGAGTCTTTGAAGGGTCGAGTCCGAGTCAAGACCGAGTCTTTGAAGGCTCGAGTCCGAGTCAAGACCGAGTCTTTGAAGGGTCAAGTCCGAGTCAAGACCGAGTCTTTGAAGGGTCGAGTCCGAGTTAAGACCGAGTCCGTTGGTTTTCAAATACAGTCGAGTCCGAGTCTTTGAAGGGTCGAGTCAGAGTCAAGACCGAGTCTTTGAAGGGTCGAGCCCGAGACAAGACCGAGTTCGTTGCTTTTCAAATACAGTCCAGTCCGAGTCAAGACCGAGTCTCTGAAGGGTCGAGCCCGAGACGAGACCGAGTTCGTTGCTTTTCAAATACAGTCCAGTCCGAGTCAAGACCGAGTCTCTGAAGGGTCGAGTCCGAGTCAAGACCGAGTCTTTGAAGGGTCGAGCCCGAGACGAGACCGAGTCTGTTGGTTTTCAAATACAGTCAAGTCCGAGTCAAGACCGAGTCTTTGAAGGGTCGAGTCCGAGTCAAGACCGAGTCTTTGAAGGCTCGAGTCCGAGTCAAGACCGAGTCTTTGAAGGGTCGAGTCCGAGTCAAGACCGAGTCTTTGAAGGGTCGAGTCCGAGTTAAGACCGAGTCCGTTGGTTTTCAAATACAGTCGAGTCCGAGTCTTTGAAGGGTCGAGTCAGAGTCAAGACCGAGTCTTTGAAGGGTCGAGTCCGAGTCAAGACCGAGTCCGTTGGTTTTCAAATACAGTCGAGACCGAGTCTTTGAAGGGTTGAGTCAGAGTCAAGACCGAGTCTTTGAAGGGTCGAGTCCGAGTCAAGACCGAGTCTTTGAAGGGTCGAGTCCGAGTCAAGACCGAGTCTTTGAAGGGTCGAGTCCGAGTTAAGACCGAGTCTTTGAAGGGTCGAGTCCGAGTTAAGACCGAGTCCGTTGGTTTTCAAATACAGTCGAGTCCGAGTCTTTGAAGGGTCGAGTCAGAGTCAAGACCGAGTCTTTGAAGGGTCGAGTCCGAGTCAAGACCGAGTCTTTGAAGGGTCGAGACCGAGTCCGTTGGTTTTCAAATACAGTCAAGTCCGAGTCAAGACCGAGTCTTTGAAGGGTCGAGTCCGAGTCAAGACCGAGTCTTTGAAGGCTCGAGTCCGAGTCAAGACCGAGTCTTTGAAGGGTCGAGTCCGAGTCAAGACCGAGTCTTTGAAGGGTCGAGTCCGAGTTAAGGCCGAGTCCGTTGGTTTTCAAATACAGTCGAGTCCGAGTCTTTGAAGGGTCGAGTCAGAGTCAAGACCGAGTCTTTGAAGGGTCGAGCCCGAGACAAGACCGAGTTCGTTGCTTTTCAAATACAGTCCAGTCCGAGTCAAGACCGAGTCTCTGAAGGGTCGAGCCCGAGACGAGACCGAGTTCGTTGCTTTTCAAATACAGTCCAGTCCGAGTCAAGACCGAGTCTCTGAAGGGTCGAGTCCGAGTCAAGACCGAGTCTTTGAAGGGTCGAGCCCGAGACGAGACCGAGTCTGTTGGTTTTCAAATACAGTCAAGTCCGAGTCAAGACCGAGTCTTTGAAGGGTCGAGTCCGAGTCAAGACCGAGTCTTTGAAGGCTCGAGTCCGAGTCAAGACCGAGTCTTTGAAGGGTCGAGTCCGAGTCAAGACCGAGTCTTTGAAGGGTCGAGTCCGAGTTAAGACCGAGTCCGTTGGTTTTCAAATACAGTCGAGTCCGAGTCTTTGAAGGGTCGAGTCAGAGTCAAGACCGAGTCTTTGAAGGGTCGAGTCCGAGTCAAGACCGAGTCCGTTGGTTTTCAAATACAGTCGAGACCGAGTCTTTGAAGGGTTGAGTCAGAGTCAAGACCGAGTCTTTGAAGGGTCGAGTCCGAGTCAAGACCGAGTCTTTGAAGGGTCGAGTCCGAGTCAAGACCGAGTCTTTGAAGGGTCGAGTCCGAGTTAAGACCGAGTCTTTGAAGGGTCGAGTCCGAGTTAAGACCGAGTCCGTTGGTTTTCAAATACAGTCGAGTCCGAGTCTTTGAAGGGTCGAGTCAGAGTCAAGACCGAGTCTTTGAAGGGTCGAGTCCGAGTCAAGACCGAGTCTTTGAAGGGTCGAGACCGAGTCCGTTGGTTTTCAAATACAGTCGAGACCGAGTCTTTGAAGGGTCGAGTCCGAGTCAAGACCGAGTCTTTGAAGGGTCGAGTCCTGAGTCGAGTCCGTTGGTTTTCAAATACAGTCGAGTCCGAGTCAAGACCGAGTCTTTGAAGGGTCGAGTCCGAGTCAAGACCGAGTCTTTGAAGGGTCGAGTCCTGAGTCGAGTCCGTTGGTTTTCAAATACAGTCGAGTCCGAGTCAAGACCGAGTCTTTGAAGGGTCGAGTCCGAGTCAAGACCGAGTCCGTTGGTTTTCAAATACAGTCGAGACCGAGTCTTTGAAGGGTTGAGTCAGAGTCAAGACCGAGTCTTTGAAGGGTCGAGTCCGAGTCAAGACCGAGTCTTTGAAGGGTCGAGTCCGAGTCAAGACCGAGTCTTTGAAGGGTCGAGTCCGAGTTAAGACCGAGTCTTTGAAGGGTCGAGTCCGAGTTAAGACCGAGTCCGTTGGTTTTCAAATACAGTCGAGTCCGAGTCTTTGAAGGGTCGAGTCAGAGTCAAGACCGAGTCTTTGAAGGGTCGAGTCCGAGTCAAGACCGAGTCTTTGAAGGGTCGAGACCGAGTCCGTTGGTTTTCAAATACAGTCGAGACCGAGTCTTTGAAGGGTCGAGTCCGAGTCGAGACCGAGTCCGTTGGTTTTCAAATACAGTCAAGACCGAGTCTTTGAAGGAACGAGTCCGAGTCGAGTCCAAGAAAGCAGAAATCGGTCTCGAGACCGGACTCGAGTACTACATGACTAGTACATACTACACGTTCTCACCATGTAGACGATGTCAGTTTTGAAGTTTTTAATTGTCTCTTCAACAAAATAATACTTGATGGTGGCAGTAAACTCAGAGCCACATTTTAATGGTTGCTCAGTATTCTCTATAATCAATTCACTTCGTGTTGGTGTGTGTGGTGTGGCAGGCCGGAAGAGCTGGACTGTTTTTTCAACCTCAACAATGTGAGGCCAGAGTCGATTGTTGTGATGATTCCTGGCCTGTTGAACGATACTTGCCTGGATAACAAAGATTCACAAATAAGCTCATGTCACTAAACTCTTCATGCAATACAAAAGAAAACTTAGTGAGCACAATATATCTTACTTTTAGAGTAATATCCCCTTTAGAATGACTGGATGTATTAAAAGAGAAGTTGGCCAGTCCACCGCTGTCTGTAATGAGATTTAGGAGCGGTTTTGAAGACCAAAAGTAACCCTCCTTAAGATAAACCTTTTTGTTTTTAATTGGTGCACCTTTCCAATTTGAGACTTTTATCTGTTGAAAATAAGATTTTGAAGGAATAAATGACTATCAATAAATAAAAACATATCAATGATGTTAAACTTAGACAAACAGATTTTAGACTTACTTGTCCTTCAATAACAGATCCATGTTCATAAGTTTTGGGTAGGTCAGTAAATGTGACTTTACAAATTTCATAAGTGAGAGATATAGATTCATGTTTTGTCATGGTGATCTCTGTAAATAGTGAAAGCAGTTACATAAATACTTATTCATATGAAAGTAAAAGATAAAAACATAGAAATTCAAGAAATGTATGTATCTGACCAAATTGAACAGCTCACCTGTTCCTTCTTCCGTAACCATCACATCAACACTAAGAGATTTTATTGGAAATGGTTTGTTGACCAAAATGGCTGATGCATTTAAGGTATGGATCGCACAGCCTGTCTTTTTGATCTAATAATAATGAATGAATACAAATGTAACTATTAACTGAAGACTGGTTTAATTTGATAAATGGGGGAAAGATAATGTACTGTGTTTCAACTCGCATACCTCAATGGTTTCCTTTAAACATAATGACTCGAGAGAGATTGGAGTAATGTAGAGCGCAAGATTAGGACACACTTTCACGCATGATTTTCCAGGAACAGGCTGTCCGTAAGTGTATCTGTGAAAAAAGTTATAATAATCTTATCTACAGCCCAGGGTTGAGTTAAGCAACTAATATATAATAGGACGGGGTTTACAGTAAGAAACTGACCCAAGAGTTAAAAAAAATTGTAATACAATAAATATTGAGTCAAAGTGTGAATGGAAGAACACACTGCTATCTTAATGCAGGAAATAAAAAGAAACCACTCACTTTCCGCAAACCTCAATTATCAGCTCCTCATCTTCAACATTTAATTGATTTGGACTTTGTACAGTAACTTCAAACTTAGGCAAAACTAGAAGTCAGAAAGTAAAAATTTGAGTTATTAGTACTCAAATTATATACATAAAATACAAACATATTGAAACTCTTCCCATGCAACACTGAAAATTGTCTGTTTCCCTTTTAAAGGGATACTCCACTTTTTGGAGCCTTTTTGGAAATAGGCTCATTTTACAACTCCTCCAAAGTTAAATAGTTGAGTTTTACCGTTTTCGAATCCATTCAGCCGATTTTCTGATATTTAGAAGAATATTAGTAACCAGACTGTTTCTGTTTTTAATTGACTTCCATAGTAGGAAAAAATATACACTATGGTAGTCAATGAGATCAGAAACTGTCTGGTTACTGATATTCTTCTAAATATCAGAAAACCGGCTGAATGGATTCGAAAACGGTAAAACTCAACTATTTAACTCTGGGGGAGTTGTTAAATGAGCCTATTTCCAAAAAAGTGGAGTATCACTTTAAGGGAATTCGCACTGAATCATAAGATATGACATAATTCAGTCGTCGAGAGGTTCCAGGAGGCTAAAAAGCTTCATGACTTACAGTACTTCAGCCTATCAAAAGCTGACATTGTTTGCTTCATGCTTTATACCTTCCTGGTAGTTTGAATTTAAGACATAACCGACTGTCTTTGCGAGGTTACTCAACAAGACAGTTTTGACATAATTTTGCGTGTTTTTAACTGTTAAAGCGATATAATCCAGGGATAAAACTTTGGTGTCCTTAATATGGAAAAAATTAGATTCGTGGCCGTTGAGAATTGTTATTGAATCGACCACATTTTAAAAAACAATTAATCGAAAAATCAATTTTTTTGCCCAGTCCTAATCAATTTATAAATAAACTTTAAATTTTGATCGAAATTATTGCTAGGGATATATCAACTGGATATTGGTAGGGACACGTCCCTAGCGTCCCTACTAAATTCTACGCCTCTGGTCTCGTTTCCTCTTCAGGGCACCAAGGTTGCCGTCACAATAAGTTGTTTTTATGACTTACCATATTTTTTCACTTCAAAATCATGTGAGATCATCCTGTCACCAATAAAAGCCTTCAGTTTGTAAATGCCTTGACAGGCCTCTGGGTTTAATTCATAAGAACGCTCCAAAATCCACTTTGTTGAAGAAACGTTTGTCCATTGGCCAATCCGGTTCCCTTTACTGTCCTGTTAAATAGCAAAGACACAGTACAGACATTTTGTGACAGTCAGCTACACATATCCTGACTATCAATGAAGAAATCATTTAATAACCCTTCAGAAAATACAATAATGGCAAATATAACCAAATTTCTTAAGTGTTAGTTACATTTTAAAGGACTGCACAGAAGCTTTTGTGTTCTTACCTCAAGAATCACTTTACTATACTGTGAAAGAGCAAATAGTAATTCAAGATTAAAAGTATTTATTAAATGTGTATTCAACAATGCAAGAGAAAATAAATATGCAGGATAAAAAACATCAGACCTGCTGATCAAGGGGTGCAAACTTTGTATCCATGGTAACAGCTCTGAAGTTCACTGTAAAATATAAATGTGTATTTAAAAACTTCAGCTCTTATGTAAGGGACAATTGCTAACGGTCATATTTCTCTCCTGTAAATTATAACTGTGTGTGAACCGCATGAAGGGTCAAATACAGGGTTGACGGGGTGAATGTGTTTTTTGAGCCAAATTTAAAGGAGATGATGGATTGCTGATGATTTACTCACCCCCATGTCATCCAAGATGTCCACGTCTTTCTTCAGTCAAAAAGAAATGAAGGTTTTTGATGAAAACATTCCAGGATTTTTCTCCATATAATGGACTTCGATGGGAACCAAAGGGCTTTAAACAATGTCAGACGATGAATAAGGGTCTTATCAAGCGAAACGATCGCTCGTTTAAAAATAATAACAAAGTTTAAGTTTTATAAGCTCAAATGGTCGCCTTGCTTTGTTAGGTTATAGGGGTGTGATGCGCGTTCGTGACTCTCCTATATAAACTTCAAAAAGAACGAATCTTTTCCCGAGTCATCTCGCTGATTTCGTTCGTTGAATGAACCAACTGACACGTAAAAAGATTTGTCCATTTTGATAAACGAGTTTGAACAGGAGAGTCACGAACGCGCATCACAGAACAGAGCAAGGCGAGCATTTGAGCTTATAAAACTTAAACTTTGTTTTTTTATGTATTAAATGAGCAATCGTTTCGCTTGATAAGACCCTTGTTCATCGCCTGGAATCGTTTAAAGCCCTTTGAACAGTTTGTACTGAAACTGTCCTTTTGACCTTGAACCGTTTGGTTCCCATCCAAGTCCATTATATGGAGAAAAATCCTGGAATGTTTTCATCAAAAACCTTAATTTCTTTTCGACTGAAGACAGAAAGACACGGATATCTTGGATGACATGGGGGTGAGTAAATTATCAGCAAAAGTTTTTTTTAAAGAGAACTACTCCTTTAACAACCCGTCACAGCTGCCTGTTTTAGCCATAATGTTACAAACATGTCTGACATTTTTTTCTCCAGCTGACCAGCTTCAACCTGTAGTTTCAGGGTAGCTTTTCTTATCTTTTCCTCCTTGTTTGTAAATCCATTGAACTGTTAACTGTTTATTTGCTGGTTTGTGCAACATTTGTAATCTTTGACCTATGATTCAACATTAGTTTGTTGCATGATCATTATGTACTTTACTTGTGTGCCATATTAGCGGTTTAGATGTCAGTGACACCAGCATTATTTACTGAGCTAAAGCCTTTGAGACATTCACAGCTCACCTGTTTGTCCTGGAATATAGATTGGTTTATCAGTCTGGATGAAAGTCAGAGGATGGTAAGGCTTGAACATGACTTTTCTCTCTTCGGTCATCTTGAAAGTCTCTCCCTGAAGTTCGACCTTCATTTTCTGCCCTGATTCTGCTTTGACCAGAGGAGCCTGATGAGAAATGATTTACTGTATTCACAACCTGCCACAAAAACTAGATGCATTATGATGAAACATATTTGATAATATTCATTATGTGCTAGTTTTGACGGCAAACCTTGAAGTTAAAGCAGCGATGAAACTCTTCCTCAGTTTTCTCCTGCAGAAGTAATGTGCTCTGGACACCATGAACCAGATAAATGTTCATGACAAGGCTTTCATTGGGCTTGAGAACACTTGCACAAAGTTTGGCCTCAGATCCCGACTTGATCACTGCAGGAAACGTCACCATGAAATATCTGTCCAGAGAAAATAATCATACGCGAGTGGTAAGATATCATTTAAAACATAAAAAATAAACTTGGAGTGTACATTTTTTTTGGAAATATGCTCATTTTACAACTCCCCCAGAGTTAAACTGTTGAGTTTTACCTTTTTTGTATCCATTCAGCCTATCTCCGGTTCTGACGGTACCACTTTAAGCATAGCTTAGTTAGCATACATCTTTGAAGTGCACTAGTATGCTAACTAGCTGGTACCGCCAGAACCTGAGATCGGCTGAATGGATTCAAAAACGGTAAAATCTCAACAGTTTAACTCTGGGGGAGTTGTAAAATGAGCGTATTTCCAACAACAACAAAAAAGTGGAGTATCCCTTTAAGTGTTTTCAGAGAAATATTGCCCTTAAAAATGCGCCATTAAGGAAATCTGTAACTGTCATTAATTTGAAATGATCTTATGCCTCAAATTGTCTCTTAAACAGCAAACCTCTACTGTACAACACAGATCGGTTAAATAAATACAGGAGAAATAATCAAGACATGCCTTACAAAATAACTATTGGTATACTATTAATTTATCTCTAACAATAACTGTTAAAAACTTACGGCCCTGATGTTTGTCCATTGACACAGATCAGGAGGAAAGAGAGCAGACAGAGCCCTGTCCAACAACAGCTATTCAGAGCCATGATGACGAGCGATCATCCAGCGCACGAGATGAACTGGACCGTCACTTTTAAAGGGACTATCATGCTAAAGCAGGTCCTTCAAAACATGTGTATTGATCTCATCTGATTAATGATTCATTCAACCCATGATTCAACCATCTAAGCACTGCAGTTTGAAAACGAGTGCTAAATTAGATCTACTAAAGCCTTAAAAATAGCTTTTTACAATATAGTTTGTTTCAAAGCAGTTTTACAATGAAAACAGGAAAATATTGCAATATTTCGGCTGTACAGCAGTTTTTGAAGTCCAGCTAAAGTAGGTTCAGTGATGGTTATTTTTTGTTGTAAAAAAGTTATTTTTTTTACCCAGACAGCACTTCAAATAAACATTAAACTTTAATTGTCCCTCTAATTTACAATTATGTATGTGTGAACTCATGAAACCTGATATTTACAGAATGATTAGATGCAAATAGAATATTTCCACTCATGAATGTGATTGAAAATATATGTAAATAAATTAATCAAGACAACATTTTTATTCTGTTTTACTTCTCATAACTGCATTTACTATCAGAAGACAATATTGTAAACTTAGTAAATTACATGAATATATCTAAAGAAAGACATTTACCACACAACCCATTCTGACAGAACTGATACTGAGTGTTTACTATAAACTCACACATTTAGTTGAATGTATTTACACTGATACATTGCAACATTTCTTCATATGAGTGGAAAGGCTTGACAAATGTTTAAAATCCCTCCCACACTGAGTACAGTAGTACGGCTTCTCTCCAATATGAACTCGCTCGTGTGATTTCAGGTGTGCAGACTGATTGAATCTCTTGGCACAACATGAGCACTTGTAAGGTTTTTCTCCAGTATGAGTTCTTTGGTGCTGTTTCAGATGATCAGGTCTAGTGAAGCTCTTCCCACAGTCACAACACACATGATCTCTCACTTCATTGTGTGTTTTCTGATCTCTCACTTCATTATGTACTTTCAAGTGTTGTTTTAGATGTGATGATAAAATATACTTTTTCCCACACTGATCACAGTTAAATGGTTTTTCACCAGAGTGAATGCGCAAATGATATCCGAGATCAGTTTTACATTTGAAACTCCCTCCACACTGAGTACAGTAGTACGGCTTCTCTCCAGTATGAACTCGCTCGTGTGATTTCAGGTTTTCAGAACGAGTGAAACTCTTGTCACAGTATGAGCACTTGAAAGGTTTTTCTCCAGTATGAATTCTTTGGTGCTGTTTCAGGTCACTAAATGTAGTAAAGCTCTTCCCACAGTCACAACACATATGATCTCTCACTTCATCGTGTGTTTTCTGGTGCCGTTTACAACTGATCAGTCGTGAAAAACTCTTTCCACAGAGAGAACACACATAAGGCTTCTCATCTGAATGAACTTTCAGGTGTTGTTTTAGATTTGATGATGAATTAAAATCTTTACCACACTGATCACAGTTGAATGGTTTTTCTCCAGAGTGAATGCGTAGATGATACTTGAGACCTGATTCAGCAGCAAAGCTCTTTCCACACTGAGTGCATGGATACGGTTTCTCTCCAGTGTGAATTCTCATGTGTCTGTTAAGGTTTCCTTTTTGACTGAAACTCTTTCCACACTGAGGGCAGGTGTAAAGCGTATTAGCGTTGATGCTCTGCTGTTCCTCCTCTGCTTCATTCAGTTCATGTTTTTCCAGTTTCATCTCCATCCAGTCTAAAATAAAAAATATTATGTGGTTAAAATAATTTTAAGTTTGATGCGTCTTTGATGTGTTAGTGCCATAATTTTCTTGTTAATCAAGCCATTCAAGATTATGACAATTTAGATGCATTTTCAGTCTCATTTATCATCTCTAATGTGTTCATTATTTCACAGTGTTGTGGAAATTTTAATCTCACATGTATTAATTGTTCTCCCTTATCAAGAGTGGAGCTAGGCACCAGAGGACCGGCCGGGTCAGGGGTCATCTTAGACTGGGAGGGGTTGAGGGGGTTAGTAAATCTAACCTGGCATCATGAATCCTATAACTTTGTGGAAATTTACAGAGAAGGCTCGGCTTGCAGTAAATAACCTTGGGGAGGGCTATTTAGTCTTCACCCCGGCCTGTGTTCTGGGCGTCACTCCACTTCGCAGTAATCTGTGTTGGTGACTGAGCCTTATTGTTCTTGCAAGAATAATAAACCTTTTCCTTTATTAATTTGACTCAGAGTGTCTCTTACGAAGTGATGTCTGTTTATTGAATTTTTGCCTTAACAACAGTCAACAGTGAATAATCAAGAATGGACACCAACCTATTTGTTCCTCAGTATCTTCATGTTTTATTCTGGATGGTTCTGGATCAGTCATGTCTTCAATCTCCTCTTTAATAAACTCCATCTTTAACAGTCACACAGATTTCAGCTGCTACTCCTGGAGTTTGTCCTTCTCTTGTAGGATGATGGGAATATTCCCAGTATTTATTGGTGAATTGTTGTGGGAGGGGCTTCACTGCAGGTGTGAACTGTGATCACTGTGTGATACTGACGCCCACAGGACCAGATCTGGAAAAATCAAAGACAAAATTCACTAAAACTCATCAGTTAACCATTCAGACACGTTTTGTTGCATTCTACATGTTGGTACTTCTTCTCAAGTTACAGATTTCAATGAGGGAATGTCTGTTCATGTGTGTGTGTGTGTGTGTGTGTGTTTTTGGAGTGAGAATTCTGGCCGCCTGGTCAGGCTCTGGGTAGAGAGCAATCTGTTTGAAGCTTGCACCCCAGGCTGTGTGTGTGTGTGGTTTTAAGGTTTTGAGATGATAACGTCTGTGTGAAGCGGACTCAATGCTGGTTTTATGGGTGTTTTTGCTTTAACTCACGTTCGCTATTAAAGTGTCAATGAACGCCATTAGGAACAGACTTTCTGGCGCTTGCTGGTGAATTACTAGACGCGAGTCAAAGGTTAAAAGCTTTTTTTTTTAATTGTACATTTGAATGAGTCCCAACTGACACAGTCCAGATATCCTACACTATGCTAATAAAAAAAAGCTAAAACACAAATGGAGCATTAACAGATTCGAGGGATGCTCTGAAGAAACACACACATTCACTCATACAGTAAATGTAAAAAACGTCTTCCATTTAAACCTAAATTTAAAAATTTCAACAACAGATATTTCATTAAATTAATTATTTTCACTGAATATTAATTATCTTCCTCTCAACAGTGTTCCATGTAGGGTATCTGGACTCTGTCAGTTGGGAATCATTCAAATCCACAGTTGAAAAGCTTTTAACCTTTGACTTCCACGCTAGTGATTCACCAGCAAGCGCCAGGAAGTCTGTTCCTAATGGTGTTCATTGACACTTTCATAGCAAACTGAGTTAAAACCAAACCTTCCACCTTTCCGGCAAGAAGGAATGTTGTGTGCACACACACACAAACACACACAGCCTGGGGTGCAAGCTTCATACAGACTGCTATCTCCCCAGAGCCTGGCCGGTCGGCCAGAAAGCTAACTCCAAAAACACACACATGAACGGACATTCCTTCATTGAAATCTGTAACTTGACTAATTCTGTAAAGAATAAGATATATTCCTGCATAACCAAGTGATAAATGTATTAACATGTACCTAATGTTCCATCTCATGATTTTCCTTTAAATTGTTGGTCTGTTTTGTGCAAACTCTAACTCTTGGTTAATGTTCCAGACTGTGTATGCTATGGGTAACCAGAGAATATGTGACATATTTAGTCTCTATAACCTGGTACTGAGAAGATCTAAATGACTGTGTACCCAATATGCCATATAAACACGTTATTTTTTTCTGACTATTACTGTGAAGCTGCTTTGACGGTAAGAAATAAAAGTGATTTGACTTGGTTTCTAGGATCTGTAACACGACAAAACCAATATCAAATGTCAGTAAGCCAGTAAGACGATGTTATTTTACAGTTTTTTTAAAATTGCTTACAATTTCTGAAACTACAAAAACAGGCACAGAACATCTCTTGGAAAAGCAAACACTTAATTGAAAACATTTTTTTAACTACTATACTTAAACAATTATTCTAAAATCATTGTTGTAAGTATATGTATATACGTGATTTCTAAGTGATCAAATTTGGTATGTTTACACTGTAAACAAAAATACAAGGGGTTCAAATGTTATTGAGCTCTGATTTCTAAATGAACAAATTAATATTATTAAGTGTTTTCACACACTAAATGTGCCACTAATGTCAGTGTTTAACAAAAGAGAAGTTAGATTTAAATGATGTGTAAGTGATGATAAGTAATGTAGACATTCCTGTTTTTTCCGTGCACATATACTTTGTAGACGGTCCCTAACTGGCCTAAGCGCGAGCTCGTCGCGTTGCTGCAATTTGAAGATGCATACAGAGAAAAGTCTAATAATATGCATATTAAAACATCAACAACCGAGATGTGTTAGTTATACGTTCTAATACCTTTCTAGTACGGTACATTTTTTACACGTATAATTTTTCACTGGAATCTATTGACATTTTTCGCGGATGAACATCTGTAGAATATTAGCGGTATCACGTCATTACACTCCAGTTAGTCCGTTTTGCACCGCGCTACGTACCTGTCATGCTGGAGACCTTTCACCAGTTATGAATGCATCAGATGTTATTTAATAATCCCTTAAGTAAATGATCCGGTAGGTTTTCTCTGCGTGACAACAAAAGCAGACAACTTATAGCTTCTTCTTCTTTTTATTTTCTTAGCGTTGACAGACCAGCTTTCGGTGGATTACCGCCACCAACTGAACTGGAGTGTGGAGCATTGAGGAGAAATAATACAAAACAAAACAAAACCATTCCGCATTTTTTAGCCAGAAGGTTTTCCTAATGAGAGTGATGTTCCATTTCCACCAGCTTATTCTTTAATACATGTCTTTAATTTGCATATGAGAACATGTTCAACTGTTTCTGGTTCATTACACCTACTGCACTTCTCTGTAAAGCAGGAGTTAGACTTGCAATCAATTGAAGACAAGAGTCAGAATTACAATAAATTGGAGATGTTTTTTACTGAAGATAGTTTGCAGTTTCGTCAGCAGCTTCAAGACCCACTTCTATTTTACATTTACAAACATCACAGCAGGTTTTTGGGAATAATAGTCTGTCTTTTCCTGAGTACTTGGCTGTGATGGGATGAGTGAAGTTTCTGACTTCTCAATGACTTTAGTTAAATGTATGTTATTGATATTTGTTTGTTTTTCATAATTTGGTTGTTGCTGGTTGATCCATTTCAATTAATAATGACAAAATAAATATTCTACAGCATGAGGACCTACAATGGATATAAATTACCCTCCTAACAAACTGAAAGAACTTAATTATAGAATTCTTTATAATTATTTATAATTGTAAAAATGTTTTTTTTTAACTAATTTCAAGACATCTGTTCAGATTCTTTAAAAGGATAGTTTACTTTGAAATTAATTTTTGATATGTTTTAGCTTAAGATAAAACATATAAAAAATTAATTTCAAAGTGAACTATCCCTTTAACACTAAACCTGAAACAACATATCACTTGTTTTTTGAAAGGAGATTTTACAAAGAAGTATCTTGGCTTATTTTCTCAGTTAAAAAAACTATTTAAACAACAAATGTACTGTTTTTGATTTGGGATGTGAGGACTTAAAGATGAGGATGGCAAAATAAAGGATATCCATTCACGGATATATAACAAGGGATATCCAGAGACATATTGTTTATTATAAATGATTGACAAAAATTCCTAAATGAATAATAACATTAATTAGGCTCAAGTGTGAAGCTCCATCCGCACTGTCGGCAAATGTAAGGCTTTTGTCTTGTGTGAATACATGTGCTTGATAAGATGTGGTTTTTGTATGAAACTTTTTCCACACTGATGGCAAGCGAAGGGCTTTTCTCCTGTGTGAATTCTTGTGTGTTTTTTCAAATTGTCCTTATGTGCAAAACCGACTCCACACTGAGTGCACTGGTACGGCTTCTCTCCAGTATGAATTCGCTCGTGTACTTTCAGGTTTCCAGACTGAGCGAAACTCTTGACACAATATGAGCACTTGTAAGGTTTTTCTCCAATATGAATTACTTGGTGCCGTTTCAGTTGGCCAACTGTAGTAAAGCTCTTCTCACAGTCACAACACACATGATCTCTCACATCATTATGTGATTGCTGGTGCAGTTTAAAACTGAACAGTCGTGAAAAACTCTTTCCACAGAGAGAACACACATAAGGCTTCTCATCTGAATGAACTTTCAAGTGTGATTTTAGATGTGAAGATAAAATGAACTTTTTCCCACACTGATCACAGTGAAATGTTTTTTCTCCAGAGTGACAGAGAAGATGTTTACTGAGACCTGATGTACGAGTGAAGCTCTTTCCACACTGAGTGCATGGATACGGTTTCTCTCCAGTGTGAATTTTCATGTGTCTGTTGAGGTTTCCGTTTTGACTGAAACTCTTTCCACACTGAGAGCAGGAGTGCAGCTTTTTGGCTTTGGTTCCTTGAGTTGTGAAGGTACAACTTTCCTCTGCTTCATTCAGGTCTTGTCTTTGCTGTTTCTCTTGTGTCTGGTCTAAAATAAAATAAATATTATGTGGTTCAAATCAGTTTAAGTGAATGAAGCATCAGAGATCAGGTATAGGTCTGTCGTTTTCTTGTTCATACAATTAAAATGCGTCGAACAATTTCTTCACAAGATTATAATGCAGTTTGCATCTATATACTGCTGATTATTTCAGTCACCAAATCTGTTGAACTGAAGCTTTGTTACCTTAACGTTTCTAAGCAGTAAACAATGAAGAATCAGAATAAACCAACCTATTTGTTCCTCAGTATCTTCATGTTTTATTTCAGATGTTTCTTGATCACTCATGTCTTCAATCTCCACTTTAATAATCTCCATCTTTATAATAGCGTAGCACACAGAATTCAGCTTTTACTACTTGGGATTTCTCCAGTTATTTCTTCTCAAAACGACCATCTTCTTCTTTTATGTTTAATGAGTTTGTAAACAACTTTAACGTGTATTAGCGCCACCTATTGGAGTGTAGTATTGAGTTTGGAAAAGGGGAATATTGTAATTCTGGCTTGATATTAATTTAAGTGCATTATATTCTTCAAGACATTATGTTTGAAAATCTAAAGCTGAGGCATAACTCCATATTTAGACTCAAATTAATACTTAAGAAACCCTGAAACATATGCTAGCAATTCAAAACCAATACAGACTTGCAGACAATACAGTGCAATATCTTGTTGGCATGTCCAGTGGATGTACTTGTGAAAGTCGTGTTTCATGCATCCACAAAATTTGGTCAGCCATGAGATTTCATGTTATTATATATATATATATATATATATATATATATATATATATATATATATATATATATATATTAGGACTGTCAAACGATTAATCGCATCCAAAATAAAAGTTTGTGTTTACATAATATATGTGGGTGCACTGTGTATAATTATTTTATATACATATAAATACACACACATGCTTGTATATATTTAAGAAATATTTTCATGTATATACTGTATATAGATTGATATATAATTTATATCATATATAAATATCAATATTTTATATATAAATATTTTTTTCTTAAATATACATGCATGTGTGTGTGTGTTTATATATATATATACAAAATAATAATACACATTTCACCCACATATATTGTATAAACACAAACTTTTATTTTAGATGCGATTAATCGTTTGACAGCCCTATATATATATATATATATATATATATATATACAGTGTTGGGTGTAACTAATTACTAAGTAATTAGTTACTGTAATTTAATTATTTTTCCCTTGAAAATGTAAAGTAAGGGATTACTCTTCATTTATCTGTAATTTAATTACAGTTACTTCTGATATAATTGAGGTAAATACTGTGTATAGATCAATCGGATCTCACAGCGATTCGTATGCATTTTATGAGGTGTCTAAATCGTACGACCGCACTCGTAAAAATTTGTATGTGAATTCGTACGTAATTATTGTAAAATATGTGTGAAAATGAGATCAGACATAAAACAATAGTGGGTTTAACATCAAAATGTATTGTCTGATGTTAAAAAGTATGTTTTTATAATGTAACCTTCTCCACCTTGGTCTGTTTAAGGGTAATTCATGCAATTTTACAGTATTTATTTGAAAGAATTAAAACAGATTCATGTCTATTCTTGTATTATTCAGCTGGTTGAGAGTGAAATTTTGAAAGTAATTAGTAATTAAAAGTAATTAAATACTTTTAAGAGAGAGTAATTAGTACAGTAATCTAATTACATTGTTGAAGAGGTAATTAGTAACTAGTAATTATTTACTTTTTTAGAGTAACTTACCCAACACTGTATATATATATATATATAGAGAGAGAGAGAGAGAGAGAGAGAGAGAGAGAGAGAGGGAGAGAAGTGAACTGGAATACATGTTATAAATCTAATAAATCTAATTAAACAAGGAAATATGGTGATTCAGATTACGCGATTTGTCATTTAACTTGGATAAAAATGGTCACAAATGAAACGATAAAACAGTGTTTGTTGAATGTACATTTTTTGTATATTTTCACAAACAACTTAATGCAGCAGACAAAATTTGTTATTTCTTATTTCATGTACAATCAGGATACATTGGTATATAGTACACAACTTATAAGATGGGAGAAACTGCTTTTTCGGTGAGTCCCGAAACCTCCCGATCGGGTGAAACTCTTCCCATACAAGCAGTGTCACGTTCTCTCGAAAGTCTATGGTAGTGGCAGTGAAGTCGCTTGTGTTTTTTCAAGGTTCCTGACCGAGTAAAACTTTTGTCACAATGTGTACATTCGAAAGGTCTTTCTCCAGAGTGAACACGCAGATGACAACCAAGACTTGATTTATGTGCGAAACCCTTTCCACACTGAGGACAGGAGTATGATTTCTCTCCAGAACAAACATGCTGGTGTATGTTCAGTTTGAGTTCAGTTGTAAAGCTCCAGCCACACTGAGGGCAAACGTGAGGCGTTTGTTTAGCGTGAGTACTCATGTGCTTGATAAGATGTGGCTTTTGTATGAAACTTTTTCCACACTGACGGCAAGCGAATGGCTTTTCTCCTGTGTGAATTTTTGTGTGTTTCTTCAGACTGTCTTTACGTGCAAAACCGACTCCACACTGAGTGCACTGGTACGGCTTCTCTCCAGTATGAATTCGCTCGTGTACTTTCAGGTTTCCAGATACAGTGTAACTCTTTTCACAGTATGAGCACTTGTAAGGTCTTTCTCCAGTATGAATTCTTTGGTGCTGTTTCAAATGGTCATCTCTAGTAAAGGTCATCCCACACTCAAAGCACATATAATCTCTCACTTCATCATGTGTTTTCTGGTGCAGTTTAAAACAGTCCAGTCGTGAAAAACTCTTTCCACAGAGAGAACACACATAAGGCCTCTCATCTGAATGAACTTTCAGGTGTTGTTTTAGTTGTGAAGACGAAGTAAACTTTTTACCACACTGATCACAGTTAAATGGTCTTTCTCCAGAGTGAATGAGCAGATGATTCCTGAGACCTGATGCTTGAGAAAAACTCTTCTCACACTCAGTGCATGGATACGGTTTCTCTCCAGTGTGAATTCTCATGTGTTTGTTAAGGTTTCTTTTTTGACTGAAACTCTTTCCACACTGAGTGCAGGAGTGCAGCTTATTGTCTTTTGTTCCTTGAGTTGTGAAGGTATGACATTCCTCTGCTTCATTCAGGTCTTGTCTTTGCTGTTTCACTTCCATCCAGTCTAAGATACAAATATTATGTGGTTAAGAGTATCAGGTATCGGATATTTGATGCGACAGTTTAATTCTCATTCATTTGCTATCAGAGATGTATAAAGCACTAGAAACCCGGACTTGAGTAAAAGTACAAGTGCTCTATCAAAAAAGTGACTTGAGTAGAAGTTGAAGTGCTCTTTAAGCACTAAAGTATTCAACATTTTTTTGTAATTAAGTATTGCAAGTAGTTTATTTTAAAATTCACTACTTAAGTAATAAAAGTAAAAGTACAAGTATTGTGTCATGTAATTATTAAAGAAAGCAGTCAAAAGTTTCAGAAATCAAATAAGGCGCTTTGGCGGCCGCCAAAAAAATGTCATTGCAGGAAAAGCCCTGCATTAGTTGTCAATGTGTGTGTCAATCAATACCATTACCCTATACAACTGGCGTGTGTTTTAGGCAGCATGAAAGCCAACTTGCAACAAATGATTCGTTAAATTTTCATAACTGTAATGAGTAAATAGCAGAATATTACAAAAATATCGAAGTAAAAGTATTAAATTCATCGAAAATATCTCCTGAAGTAAAAGTAGAAGTATGAGAAAAAAAACCCAATACTTTAGTAGAGTACAGATACAGCATTTTAGTACTTCTACTTTGTTACTATACATCTCTTGTTTGTTTACAACTTCTTTACACGACTATGATAATAATCTATTTTCTGTGTCATTTATCATCTATAAACTGCTTATTAAATCACACTCAATCTGCTGAACTTGAATGTTCATGTTTCTCAACAGTTAACAATGAAGAATCAAGAATGGACACCAACCTATTTGTTCTTCAGTATCTTCATGTTTTATTTCAGATGTTTCTTGATCACTCATGTCTTCAATCTCCACTTTAATAATCTCCATCTTTATAATAGTACAACACACAGATTTAAGATGTTTCTGCTTGGATTTCTCTAGTTATTTCTTTTCAGAACGACCATCTTCTTCTTTTACGTTTTATGATAGTTTGTAAACCACTTTAAGGTGCATTAGCGCCACCTATTGGAGTGTAGTATTGAGTTTGGAAAGGGGGAATATTGTAATTCTGGCCTGCTGATTTTGATTTAAGTACATTATAACTTGAAATATCCATGGACTTGAAATAATACTGAAAACCGATATGCTAAAAACAATAAAACTAGTAGACAGTGGCAAATCGAATTTCAAATCGAATTTAACAAGGAAATTTGCAGATTCAGATTACATGTTTTGTCATTTAACTTGGATTAAATAAATCAGTGGTGGTTCATTAAGCATTCAAAATTGTTTTATATTTGCAAAAACTACTTAATGCAGTGGACAATATGTTTTATTTATCAATATTTTATTTTATTTATTTAACAAAACACTATATAGTAGACATTAATAGACTTACTAGTCATAAACAGATTGTATCATGGCCACATAACAAAAAATGGCAAAAATTCAAAAACATAAACATTACTTGGCAAGCTTGTTGGAAAAACTCTTACCACGGTCGGTCACCCATTTGTCTATATAGCAGGAAAAGTTCACACAGTTTTACACATGATTTATTTAGTAGTGTACACCACAAATAATAGGCTGGATGAAAACAAAAGTTTAAAGGCAGGTCTGCCATACAAAGGCTGAGTGCGGTAACTACGCAAACAAAGAAACGGAGAAAAAGGCCTTTAACGTTTTTATACCAGCCAGTCAAACATGTTATGGGTAGATTATGTGGTAATGCAGGGATACAATAACACTGTAACGTTACATCCCAAAGATATTAATCACAGCATTATCATCACAAGATGATAATAAAGATATACAAAATGTCTTTAATAATAAAATATACTCAGGGTAGCAGTGCGAGCGTAGAACAAACATAAACACAAACATAGACAGGCAACTGAAGACTAAAAACAGAAGAACCAAATACACAGAGATGACAAACTAAATGAGCTGTGATAAGAATGTTAACTTTAATGTTTTATATTGTATGATGCGTTGGAATAATTTGGAAAATATATGTGATTTGTTGTTTCAAATGAAAAAAAAAAAAAAAAACAACTAAATGAGCTGTGACGCGATTCAGCGGCAAAACGGCGGCAACCAATCGGAATATAGACGTCCTTCACGCTGGCTGATTCCGGAGAAACATTCGACGTAAACTTTCGTTCCTACTAAGTACCAAAACATTATTCCGAGAAAATGGAGGAGAAGCTAATAATCGCCGCTGCTGTGTTTCCTATTGGTTTCGTATCATTTATGTCATGACGTTATTTGCTTATAGGGACCGCGTGAGCGCAACTTTTATTTGAAATATTTACGAACGCTCGAAGCGGGAATGCAATTACATTGCTCACGGTGACACTGATTTGACCGCAAATAACAATAATAATGGCTAACTATTTTTTTCGACCAAATGTGGCCAAAAATACTGTCATTATAAAAGGATTCTTCAATGTATTGCTTGTTTTTTTTTTCCTTCAGTTATACATTTCACGTTGTGACACTTCTATTCTCCTTGCAACGTCAGAGCGTTCAAAACATTCAAAGCGTCAACAAGCTTCCCCGTACTTTTTGTCAAGCGTTCTTGACAGGGTGGCCAGAGCTTTTTTGACGATCAAGTCGGCGGTGGTGTGACCGTACAGTAAGAGTGTCCCTCCGAGGTCACGAGTCTAAGCACCAACATGTCACATAAAACAAGCCTGTAACAAAGAATACTAGCGTACATACACTGACACAGCTTCTTCAAGGTTGGAGTTAGTTGAGCTTTGATCTAAAGAGGAGACTTTCCCAAAACATCAAGATGACATGTTCTTTCTCTCAGTGAGAGGTTCAGACAATAGCTTTTCACCAACTTGCCCAAATTAAAATGATATTGTGCTTCTCTATTTTTAACTTACACATTCACTTTAATCGTTTACACACGGAGTGCACTGGTACGGCTTCTCTCCAGTGTGAACTCGCTCGTGTAATTTCAGGTGTCCAGACTGAGTGAAACTCTTATCACAGTATGAGCACTTGTAAGGTTTTTCTCCAGTATGAATTCTTTGATGCAGTTTCAGACATTCAGCTCTAGTAAAGCTCTTCCCACAGTCACAACACACATGATCTCTCACTTCAGTGTGTGTTTTCAGGTGCAGTTTAAAATAATAGAGACTTGAAAAAATCTTTCCACAAAGAGAACATAATTGAGGCTTCTCATCTGAATGAACTTTAAGATGTTGTTTTAGTTGTGATGATGAAATAAACTTTTTACCACACTGATCACAGTTAAATGGCTTTTCTCCAGAGTGAACACGCAGATGATATTTGAGATCAGTTTTACATTTGAAACTCTCTCCACACTGAGTACAGTCGTACGGCTTCTCTCCAGTATGAACTCGCTCATGTGATTTCAGATTTTCAGAACGACAGAATCTCTTGTCACAGTATGAGCACTTGTAAGGTTTATCTCCAGTATGAGTTCTTTGATGCTGTTTCAGATTGTCAGCTCTAGTAAAGCTCTTCCCACAGTCACAACACACATGATCTCTCACTTCATCATGTGTTTTCAGGTGCAGTTTAAAATGACGCAGCCATAAAACACTCTTTCCACAGAGAGAACACACATAAGGCTTCTCATCTGAATGAACTTTCAGGTGTTGTTTTACATGTGCTAATGAATTAAACTTTTTCCCACACTGATCACAGTTAAATGGTTTTTCTCCAGAGTGAACACGCAGATGATTCCTGAGACCTGATGATTGAGAAAAGCTCTTTCCACACTGAGTGCATGGATACGGTTTCTCTCCAGTGTGAATTCTCCTGTGTGTCTTAAGGTTTCCTTTTTGACTGAAACTCTTTCCACACTGAGAGCAGGAGTGCAGCTTATAGGCTTTTGTTCTTTGAGTTTTGATGCTCTGCTGTTCCTCCTCTGCTTCATTCAGTTCACTTTTTTGCGGTTTTACTTCCATCCAATCTAAAATAAAAATATTATGTGGTTAAAATAAGTTCAAATCAACTATGATTTAAAAGAAGAAAGCAACATAGTATCAAGTATCAGATCTTTGATGTTCCAAAGTTTAGTTTTTTACTTGCTAATCCATTTCTTATATATGGAAGGCTATTCAAAATTATAATAATTTAGATACATTTTCTACATAACTTATCTCTAATTTATTCTTTATTTCACAATCTGTTGAACTGAAGCTTTGTTGTCTTAATGTTTATCAACAGTCAACAGTGAATAATCAAGAATGGACACCAACCTATTTGTTCCTCAGTATCTTCATGTTTTATTCTGAATGGTTCTGGATCAGTCATGTCTTCAATCTCCTCTTTAATAAACTCCATCTTATTTATTGGTGAATTGTTGTGGGAGGGGCTTCACTGCAGGTGTGAACTGTGATCTGATACTGACGCCCACAGGACCAGATCTGGAAAAATCAAAGATAAGAAACTGAATTTATACTGGAATACTTTAACAGAAAACATGAGATGGCTTTAATTTAACTCAAATGCAGAGCATTTGGATAGTTACATATTAGTAGTCTATAAAACAGCTCTAAGTTGCTCATTTTAATGTAACCCAGAATATTTTAAGCATTATTTTATTTATATTAGTTAATGGAGATCTAAACTCTAACATAAGATGGAAGAAATACACTTAAAAACAGTAGTATAAACTGAATAGAGAGGGAGTGGTGGGGTATAAATAACAATTATTTTAAGAATTGTGAAATAATTCTGATTTTTAGAAGAAGAAAAATTATGTTGTTTAGGTAGAAAACAACACCAATGTCTGGTACCATTATCCAAATATGATTTTTTTAAAATATGAACAAATTTAAAATTAAAATAATACCAGTTTTGACAAAACAAAAACTTGTATACAATGTTAAACCTCACAGTTATAAGGTTCATAGACAATTGGAAAAGTTTTTGGGGCAGAACTGACCCATTGAAAATAAATTATATTCTTCATACTCAAACTCATACTCATAAACCTCCATTATATGACTGACAGACAAGAATGGTTTGACCTAAAAAAAATGACACCCAACTTAACCTGCATCAACACAGAAGGAACAATCAATTTAAAACTTAATGTAATAATCGATGTCATATAAGTTAATACTAATTAAATGTATTTTAACTTGTAATAAGCCTTCACGTTTTTGACTGGGGTTGCCTTGATTTTTAAGTATTAAACTGGTCCGTCGCACGTTTATTTGTATTATTTCACATTTTTGGTGTATAATTGTTATTCACTATTGTCTTATTCACTATTGTCTCAACATGTATATTAAATAAAACCAGATGAGAAGTTTGCGATTCTCTGTCATCATTGAACAAAACACACTTGTCCGATATGCAAAATGACTGAATAAACATATCACAGCGCTACATACCTGTCATGCTGGAGACCTTTACCACATGAATGTATCCAGATGTTAATAAATCCTGAAGGAATTCGTCCAGTAACTTTTCTCTCCTTGACTACAAAAGCAGCAGGCTATTGTTATTAGCAGTTAGCATTAGCATTATCACTACTAGACACGTAGGGGCGGGGAATCGGGGAAGATCTGAGTAAATTCAGTCTCATGTTACAGGAGCAGATTCGATTATTAGGTAATTCAGATATCAGAAAATATCATAGTAAATTGAAAATGGAATGGGGATGTTGTTTTCTTTCTCTTCAAACAAAAACACTTAAAGAGAGTACCCCACATTTACATGATTGTTAGCAGCCCACATTGTGAATTGTAACCGCATTTGGAGCACTTGTAATCCAGATTTGGTCATCTGAAAATCAAAATGTGTTCATCTGGATCAGAGGTGATCAGTCCTATTTTGCTTTATGAAAACGACACTAAAGTAAAATTGATTACCTGTTCCTGGATAGTCCAGTAGAAACAATAATGTCTGATATTTTCTGTAAATTGGTATATCATATATCAACACACTGTAAACATACAGCATTTGGAGAAAATATTACACATTTTAACCTTTCTCTGCTTTGGTGAACGGAAGCTACACTGTACCTTTTTGTTCCAAAGCACTCAATAATGAAGGATAAAAAACAACCTCCAACCTCTTTATATGATACAAGACCTAATTAAATTTGAGTTGATTTTATAATAATACCGTACATCCCAAACACATTTATCACAGTATTAAGATTGAAAGTTTAAACTAATTTATGTGATTAAAACTATATAATTCATTACTTGTGTTCATTAAATCAATCAAGACAAAATGTTGTTTATCTTTTATTTCTCATAATTACATGAACTATCAGAACACAATATAAAACACTTAAATAATGTTTGTGCACTAACTTGGATAGGTTAAATGCAGAGGACAAATTCCAAGTATGGGTTACCATATTTTACTTTCACTTTCACATATTTAGCACACAACCTTCCCTGACAGAAAATTAAACTACAACAACGATTTTATTTACAGTGTAAGAGATGTTGGATAATTTTTCCAAGCTTTTCACCAAATTGACTAACTATATGATATTGTGCATTTATGCCAAACTCCAAATCTATCTTTTATCTCTCATTAGTTTTTACTTGAATGTATTTGACAAACACAAATGTTTCTCACTTGCAACATAATTTCATATGAATGTGAAGGCTTGATAAATGTTTATAACTTTTCCCACACTGAGTACAGTCGTACGGTTTCTCTCCAGTGTGAACTCGCTCGTGTGATTTCAGGTGTGCAGACTGAGTGAAACTCTTCTCGCAAGATGAGCACTTATAAGGTTTTTCTCCAGTATGAATTCTTTGGTGCTGTTTCAGATGCTCAGCTGTATTAAAGCTCTTCCCACAGTCACAACACACATGATCTCTCACTTCAGTGTGTGTTTTCAGGTGCAGTTTAAAATAATAGAGACTTGAAAAAATCTTTCCACAAAGAGAACATAATTGAGGCTTCTGATCTGAATGAACCTTCAGGTGTTGTTTTAGATGTGATGATGAAATAAACTTTTTACCACACTGATCACAGTGAAATGGCTTTTCTCCAGAGTGAACGCGCAGATGATATTTGAGATCAGTTTTACATTTAAAACTCTCTCCACACTGAGTACAGTAGTACGGCTTCTCTCCAGTATGAAGTCGCTCGTGTGATTTCAGGTTTTCAGAACGAGTGAAACTCTTCTCACAGTATGAGCACTTGTAAAGTTTTTCTCCAGTATGAATTCTTTGGTGCCGTTTCAGATTGTCAGCTTTAGTAAAGCTCTTCCCACAGTCACAACACACATGATCTTTCACTTCATCATGTATTTTCAGGTGCAGTTTAAAATGACGCAGCCATAAAACACTCTTTCCACAGAGAGAACACACATAAGGCTTCTCATCTGAATGAACTTTCAAGTGTTGTTTTAGATGTGATGATGAAATAAACTTTTTACCACACTGATCACAGTTAAATGGTTTTTCTCCAGAGTGAACGCGCAGATGATAACTGAGACCTGATGCTCGAGAAAAGCTCTTTCCACACTGAGTGCATGGATACGGTTTCTCTCCAGTGTGAATTCTCCTGTGTGTCTTAAGGTTTCCTTTTTGACTGAAACTCTTTCCACACTGAGAGCAGGAGTGCAGCTTATTAGTTTTTGTTCTTTGAGTTTTGATGCTCTGCTGTTCCTCCTCTGCTTCATTCAGTTCACTTTTTTGCGGTTTTACTTCCATCCAATCTAAAATAAAAATATTATGTGGTTAAAATAAGTTCAAATCAACTATGATTTAAAAGAAAAAAGCAACAGAGCATCAAGTATCAGATCTTTGATGTTCCAAAGTTTAGTTTTTTACTTGCTAATCCATTTCATACAGGGAAGGCTATTCAAGATTATAATCATTTACATACATTTTCTACATAACTTATCTCTAATTTGTTCCTTACTTCACAGTCACCAAATCTGTTGAACTGAAGCTTTGTTACCTTAATGTTAACAACAGTCAACATTGAAGAATCAAGAATGGACACCAACCTATTTGTTCCTCAGTATCTTCATGTTTTATTCTGGATGGTTCTGGATCAGTCGTGTCTTCAATCTCCTCTTTAATAAACTCCATCTTTAACAGTCACACAGATTTCAGCTGCTACTCCTGGAGTTTGTCCTTCTCTTGTAGGATGATGGGAATATTCCCAGTGTTTATTGGTGAATTGTTGTGGGAGGGGCTTCACTGCAGGTGTGAACTGTGATCACTGTGTGATACTGACGCCCACAGGACCAGATCTGGAAAAATCAGAGATAAGTTACTGAATTTAGACTGGAATACTTTAACAGAAAACATGAGGTGGCTTTAATTTAGCTGAAATGCAGAGCATTTGGATAGTTACATATTAGTAGTGTATAAAACAGCTCCAAGTTGCTCATTTTAATGTAACCTAGAATATTATAAGCATTATTTTATTTATATTATTTAATGAATATCTAAACTCTAACATAAGATGGAAGAAATACACTTAAAAACTGTAGTTTAAAATGAATAGAGAGGGAGTGGTGGGGTATAAGTAACAATTCTTCTAAGAATTGTGAAATAATTCTGATTTTTAGAAAAAAAAATCATGTTGTTTAGATAGAAAACAACACCAATGTCTGGTACCATTATCCAAATCTGATTTTTTTTTAAAATATGAACAAATTTACCACATGAATGTATCCAGATATTAATAAATCCTGAAGGAATTCGTCCAGTAACTTTTCTCCCCGTGACTACAAAAGCAGCAGGCTATTGTTGTTAGCAGTTAGCATTAGCATTATCACTACTAGACGCGTAGGGGCGGGGCTCTGAATCGGGGAAGATCTGAGTAAATTCAGTCTCACGTTACAGCAGCAGATTCGATTATTAGGTAATTCAGATATCAGAAAATATCATAGTAAATTGAAAATGGAATGGGGATGTTGTTTTTTTTTCTCTTCAAACAAAAACACTTAAAGAGAGTACCCCACATTCACTTTGTTAGCAGCCCACATTGTGAATTGTAACCGCATTTGGAGCACTTGTAATCCAGATTTGGTCATCTGAAAACATGTTCATCTGGATCAGAGGTGATCAGTCCTATTTTGCTTTATGAAAATGACACTAAAGTAAAATTGATTACCTGATCCTGGATAGTCTAGTAGAAACAATAATGTCTGATATTTTCTGTAAATTGGCTTATCACATTTTAACACACTGTAAACATACAGCATTTGGAGAAAATATTACACATTTTAGCCTTTGTCTGCTTTGGTGAACTGAAGCTATACTGTACCTTTTTGTTCCAAAGCACTCAATAATGAAGGGTAAAAAAAAAAACCTCCAACCTCTTTATATGATACAAGACCTAATTAAATTTGAGTTGATTTTACAATGATACCGTGCATCCCAAACACATTTATCACAATATTAAGATTGAAAGTTTAAACTAATTTATGTGATTAAAACTATATAATTCATTACTTGTGTTCATTAAATAAATCAATCAAGACAAAATGTTGTTTATCTTTTATTTCTCATAATTACATGAACTACCAGAACACAATATAATACACTCAAGTAATGTTTGTGCACTAACTTGGATAGGTTAAATGCAGAGGACAAATTCCAAGTATGGGTTAACATACTTACTTTCACTTTCACATATTTAGCATACAACCTATCCTGACAGAAAATTAAACTACAACAACCATTTTACTTACACTGTAAGAGATGTTGACTGGTGAAGCTTCAGCTTAAGTCTTTATAATTTTTCCAAGCTTTTCACCAAATTGACTAACTATATGATATTGTGCATTTATGACAAACTTCATATCTATCTTTTATCTCTCACTAGTTTTTACTTGAATGTATTTGACAAACACAAATGTTTCTCACTTGCGACATAATTTCATATGAATGTGAAGGCTTGATAAATGTTTATAACTTTTCCCACACTGAGTACAGTCGTACGGCTTCTCTCCAGTATGAACTCGCTCGTGATATTTCAGGGATCCAGAATGACTGAAACTCTTGTCACAGTATGAGCACTTGTAAGGTTTTTCTCCAGTATGAATTCTTCTGTGATTTTTCAGATTGTCAGCTCTAGTAAAGCTCTTCCCACAGTCACAACACACATGATCTCTCACTTCAGTGTGTGTTTTCAGGTGCAGTTTAAAATAATAGAGACTTGAAAAAATCTTTCCACAAAGAGAACATAATTGAGGCTTCTCATCTGAATGAACTTTCAAGTGTTGTTTTAGTTGTGATGATGAAATAAACTTTTTACCACACTGATCACAGTTAAATGGCTTTTCTCCAGAGTGAACGCGGAGATGATGATATCTGAGATCAGTTTTACATTTGAAACTCTCCCCACACTGAGTACAGTAGTACGGCTTCTCTCCAGTATGAAGTCGCTCGTGTGATTTCAGGTTTTCAGAACGAGTGAATCTCTTGTCACAGTATGAGCACTTGTAAAGTTTTTCTCCAGTATGAATTCTTTGGTGCCGTTTCAAATGGTCAGCTTTAGTAAAGCTCTTCCCACAGTCACAACACACATGATCTCTCATTTCATCATGTATTTTCAGGTGCAGTTTAAAATGACGCAACCAGAAAACACTCTTTCCACAGAGAGAACACACATAAGGCTTCTCATCTGAATGAACTTCCAGGTGTTGTTTTAGATGTGATGATGAATTAAACTTTTTACCACACAGATCACAGTTGAATGTTTTTTCTCCAGAGTGAATGCGTAGATGATTCCTGAGACCTGATGATTGAGCAAAGCTCTTTCCACACTGAGTGCATGGATACGGTTTCTCTCCAGCGTGAATTCTCCTGTGTGTCTTAAGGTTTCCTTTTTGACTGAAACTCTTTCCACACTGAGAGCAGGAGTGCAGCTTATTAGTTTTTGTTCTTTGAGTTTTGATGCTCTGCTGTTCCTCCTCTGCTTCATTCAGTTCACTTTTATGTGGTTTTACTTCCATCCAATCTAAAATAAAAATATTATGTGGTTAAAATAAGTTCAAATCAACTATGATTTAAAAGAAGAAAGCAACAGAGTATCAAGTATCAGATCTTTGATGTTCCAAAGTTTAGTTAATTTTTTTACTTGCTAATCCATTTCATGTATGGAAGGCTATTCAAGATTATGATCATTTAGATACATTTTCTACATAACTTATCTCTAGTTTATTCCTTATTTCACAGACACCAAATCTATTGAACTGAAGCTTTGTTGTCTTAATGTTTTTCAACAGTCATCAATGAAGAATCAAGAATGGACACCAACCTATTTGTTCCTCAGTCTCTTCATGTTTTATTCTGGATGGTTCTGGATCAGTCATGTCTTCAATCTCCTCTTTAATAAACTCCATCTCCTCTTTAATCTCCTCTTTAATAAACTCCATCTTTAACAGTCACACAGATTTCAGCTGCTACTCCTGGAGTTTGTCCTTCTCTTGTAGGATGATGGGAATATTCCCAGTATTTATTGGTGAATTGTTGTGGGAGGGGCTTCACTGCAGGTGTGAACTGTGATCACTGTGTAATACTGACGCCCACAGGACCTGATCTGGAAAAATCAGAGATAAGTTACTGAATTTATACTGGAATACTTTAACAGAAAACATGAGGTGGCTTTAATTTAGCTGAAATGCAGAGCATTTGGATAGTTACATATTAGTAGTGTATAAAACAGCTCTAAGTTGCTCATTTTAATGTAACCCAGAATATTATAAAGCATTATTTTATTTATATTATTTAAAGAATATAGCCTATAAACTCTCACATAAGATGGAAGAAATACACTTAAAAACAGTAGTTTAAACTGAATAGAGAGGGAGTGGTGGGGTATAAGTAACAATTCTTCTAAGAATTGTGAAATAATTCTGATTTTTAGAAGAAAAAAAATCATGTTGTTTAGATAGAAAACAACACCAATGTTTGGTACCATTATCCAAATTTGATTTTTTTTAAAAATATGAACAAATTTACCACATGAATGTATCCAGATATTAATAAATCCTGAAGGAATTCGTCCAGTAACTTTTCTCTCCGTGACTACAAAAGCAGCAGCCTATTGTTATTAGCGGTTAGCATTAGCATTATCACAATGATTATCACTAGACGCGTAGGGGCGGGGCTCTGAATCGGGGAAGATCTGAGTAAATTCAGTCTCACGTTACAGCAGCAGATTCGATTATTAGGTAATTCATATATCAGAAAATATCATAGTAAATTAAAAATGGAATGGGGATGTTGTTTTCTTTCTCTTCAAACAAAAACACTTAAAGAGAGTACCCCACATTCACTTTGTTCGCAGCCCACATTGTGAATTGTAACCGCATTTGGAGCACTTGTAATCCAGATTTGGTCATCTGAAAACATGTTCATCTGGATCAGAGGTGGTCAGTCCAATTTAGCTTTAAAAAACGACACTGAAGTAAAATGGATTACCTGATCTTGGATAGTCTAGTAAACAACAGGCTGATGTCTGATATTTTCTATTTAATTGGCATATTAATCACATTTTAATACACTGTAAACATACAGCATTTTGAGAAAATTTTCATTTTAGCCTTTCACTGCTTTGGTGAACTGAAGCTATACGGTACCTCATTCTTCCTAAGCAGTCAATAATGAAGGATAAAAATGAACTCCAACCTCTTTGTATAATACAAGACCTAGTTTGAGTTGATTTTACAATAATACCATACATCTCCAAACACATTTATCACAGTATTAAGATTGAAAGTTTAAACTAATTTATGGAATTAAAACTATATAACTCATTACTTGTGTTCATTAAATAAATCAATCAATCAAGACAGAATGTTGTTTATCTTTTATTTCTCATAATTACATGAACTACCAGAACACAATATAAAACACTTAAATAATATTTGTGCACTAACTTGGATAGGTTAAATGCAGAGGACAAATTCCAAGTATGGGTTAACATACTTTACTTTCACTTTCACATATTTAGCACACAACCTTCCCAGACAGAAAATTAAACTACAACAACGATTTTATTTACACTGTAAGAGATGTTGGCTGGTGAAGCTTCAGCTTAAGTCTTTATAATTTTTCCAAGCTTTTCACCAAATTGACTAACTATATGATATTGTGCATTTATGACAAACTCCAAATCTATCTTTTATCTCTCACTAGTTTTTACTTGAATGTACAGGGGTTGGACAATGAAACTGAAACACTGGCCAATGTTGGAGGTTTCACATCTATATAACTGGCGGCCAATCTTCAGAGTGAAGCACGGGTGGATCAGTGATGGTTTGAGCTCCAATATCATGACAATCCTGATTTGTATTTGATGGACACGACACTGCCGAGGACTACCAAACCCTTCTGGAGGATCATGAGCACCTGATGATCATGATCATGCACCAACACACACAGCAAGACTTGTGACAGAAGGGTTTGATGAAGATGAAAGTGACGTTGAACATGCACAGTCACCAGATCTAAATATTATTGAGGTGTTTTGGAGGAGCGAGTCCACCAGCATAATATAGTGACCTGGACACTGTTCTGGAAGAGGAACGGCTCATAATCCCTCTGGTCACTGTGAAGGACTTCTATCTGTCATTCCCAAGATGAATTGGTGCTGTATTTGGATGCAAAATGAGGCCCTCACCATACTAACAAATTATTGTGTTGTAAAACCAGATGTTTCAGTTTCATTGTCCAACCCGTGTATTTGACAAACACAAATATTTCTCACTTGCAACATAATTTCATATGAATGTGAAGGCTTGATAAATGTTTATAACTTTTCCCACACTGAGTACAGTCGTACGGTTTCTCTCCAGTATGGAGTCGCTCATGTGATTTCAGGTGTGCAGACTGAGTGAAACTCTTCTCGCAAGATGAGCACTTATAAGGTCTTTCTCCAGTATGAATTCTTTGGTGCTGTTTCAGATTGTCAGCTTTAGTAAAGCTCTTCCCACAGTCACAACACACATGATCTCTCACTTCATCATGTATTTTCTGGTGCTGTTTAAAACTGTTCAGTCTTGAAAAACTCTTTCCACAAAGAGAACACACATAAGGCCTCTCATCTGAATGAACTTTCAAGTGTTGTTTTAGTTGTGATGGTGAAATAAACTTCTTACCACACTGATCACAGTGAAATGGCTTTTCTCCAGAGTGAACGCGGAGATGATGATATCTGAGATCAGTTTTACATCTGAAACTCTTCTCACACTGAGTACAGTAGTACGGCTTCTCTCCAGTGTGAACTCGCTCGTGTGATTTTAGGTTTTCAGAACGAGTGAATCTCTTCTCGCAATATGAGCACTTGAAATGTCTTTCTGCAGTATGAATTCTTTGGTGATTTTTTAAATGGGCAGATGTAGTAAAGCTCTCCCCACACTCAAAGCACACATGATCTCTCACTTCATCATGTGTTTTTCGGTGCAGTTTAAAATGACGCATTCTTGAAAAACTCTTTCCACAGAAGAAACACACATAAGGCTTCTCATCTGAATGAACATTTAGGTGTTGTTTTAGATTTGATGATGAATTAAAATCTTTACCACACAGATCACAGTTAAATGGTTTTTCTCCAGAGTGAATGCGCAGATGATATTTGAGACCTGATTCACCAGCAAACTCTTTCCACACTGAGTGCATGGATACGGTTTCTCTCCAGTGTGAATTCTCAAGTGAGTCTTTAGGTTTCCTTTTTGACTGAAACTCTTCCCACACTGAAAGCAGGAGTGCAGCTTATTAGTTTTTGTTCTTTGAGTTTTGATGATATACTTTTCCTCCTCTGCTTCATTCGGTTCATGTTTCTGCAGTTTCATCTCCATCCAGTCTAAAATGAAAATATTAAGTGGTTAAAATAAGTTCAAGTGAACTCTGATTAAACAGAAGAAAGAATCAGAGTATCGAGTATCAGATCTTTGATGAGCCAAAGTTTAGCTCAGTCTTTTTCTTGTTAATCCGTTTAAAAGGTGGTTGACAAAAGCTATTCAAGATTATGACACTGAACACAATTATAAACGCAACACTTTTGTTTTTGCCCCCATTTTTCGTGAGCTGAACTCAAAGATCTAAGACCTTTTCTATGTACACAAAAGATATTTCTCTCAAATATTGTTCACAAATCTGTCTAAATCTGTGTTAGTGAGCACTTCTCCTTTGCCGAGATAATCCATCCCAATCACAGGTGTGACGGATCAAGATGCTGATTAGACAGCATGATTATTGCACAGGTGTGCCTTAGGCTGGCCACTGTATTGGGTAGTGTTGTCACAATATCAAAATTATTGTTTCGATACCGATACCAAGTCAAGAATTGCGATTTCGATACTTTTTCGATACTTTTCATGAAAAGAAAAGTATTTCTTACAAGCCGTTTCATATGCACTCTATAGCCTATAGATCATTTTAGCTGATGTTTTGTATGCTTTATTTTAGCAACTTGCAAATAATTTATGCTATCTATGAAAGTTGGGGGGAAAAGTCCATCTTCACTCAGACGCGCGCTTCAATCTTTATTGTGGGCAGCCTAAGGCACACCTGTGCAATAATCATGCTGTCTAATCAGCATCTTGATATAACACACCTGTGAGGTGGATGGATTATCTCAGCAAAGGAGAAGTGCTCACTAACAATAGAAACAATATTTAAGAGAAATAGGCCTTTTGTGTACATAGAAAAACTCTTAGATCTTTAAGTTCAGCACATGAAAAACGGGGAAAATTTTGCTCAGTGTAGATTCATTTTCTATATCTCTATTTTGCTCATTATTTCACAGCCACCAAATGTGTTGAACTGGAGATTTGTTAATGTTTTTCAACAGTCAACAATGAAGAATCAAGAATGGACACCAACCTATTTGTTCTTCAGTATCTTCATGTTTTATTCTGGATGGTTCTGGATCAGTCATGTCTTCAATCTCCTCTTTAATAAACTCCATCTTTAACAGTCACACAGATTTCAGCTGCTACTCCTGGAGTTTGTCCTTCTCTTGTAGGATGATGGGAATACTCCCAGTATTTATTGGTGAATTGTTGTGGGAGGGGCTTCACTGCAGGTGTGAACTGTGATCACTGTGTGATACTGACGCCCACAGGACCAGATCTGGAAAAAAACAAGAATATAAGGATGAAACAGGGCAGAGGTTCAATTGTTCCATTAATATCTAAACTAGGCTAAACCAAAAATCTTACGAAACAACATAAATCTACTTAAACAATACAGACTGAATAGAGAGGGGGTGGTGGGTATAAGCAACAATTCTTCTAAAAATTGTGAAATCACTTCAAAAAGTTCTGATATTAGAAAGAAAAATGTTTAGGTAGCAAAGTTTATTCGAAACAATGCCAATGTCTATGGTAACATCCTAAACTGTAAAATTATATTAAACAATTCTTTAGTCAACATGAACAATATGCCTACTTATAAAGCATTTGTTAATCTTAGTTAGTAGATGTTATTTCAGCATTTACTAATACTTTGTTAAAATCAGAAGTTGTCTTTGTTAATGCTATTTAATGGATTTGAGTTAAGATGTACTTAGTTAATTATTATTAATTATTATCAAAGAACAATAGCTATGCCTACTGTAAAATACAAAAATAAAACTAAAACGTATTGCTCTTGTAAATGTTAATTAATACATTAGCAAACAATAACTAATGGAATCTTATTGCTAAGCGTTACCAAATTGTCATTATAGATTCAAGAATGCTGATACTTCACCATTTTCAAAACAATAGCATTAAACAGTCTCGTCCGTATCCAGTTTGATCATTACTCGCAACATTTAACATAATTATCATGTTTAAGTATTAGTTATCAAGCTGTGATTAATACAAAACATAGGCTATACTACTGACATGGTTTTAAAGCTTTTGTTATCTAATTGGTTTGGCCTTCAAAAGTCTTAAAACAGCCCTGTGTGTAAGGATTTTATAATAAAGGTCCTAACTGTCAAAATAACAATGTAAGTTATGCACAGAGGACTAATGAAGGGGTTTGATTCTACATCGTGAATTTAGATTGATAATGAGATGTCAATTACTAGTTCGCGTTTATGGTGTATAATTTCATTGTTCTTCACTCTTCTCCTTTCAAACTGTAACGTTACATTAAATACAATTTGACAAGTTTGCGGTTCTCTGTCGTCATTGAACAAACAGTCCTGCTAGTCCGCGTAACATGATTCAGTAAAAATCACAGCGCTTATTACCTGCTATGCTGGAGAATCTTTACCACATCGAGAAGTTGTTTAATAATTCCTGTAGAAAATCAAGTAGCTTTTCTATCCGTGATAACACAGTAGACTACAGTCGTTAGCAGTTAGCACTAGCATTGTCAACAAGACGCGGAGAGCTGAGTAAAACCAGTCTCACGTCACACAACTGCAGATTCGACTATTGGAGCAGTATTAATAGATTATTGAGTACAGATACAATTCACAGGAATGTTATTTTTTGTAAATTCTTAGGGATGAAAGTTTACTTTTCTGTTAAAATTGTATTTTTTATTTTAATAGACAAAGATTACCACCAAATGTGGGCTTTGTTGTTAATCTTTGTTGGATTATGGGACATACATAAACAAAAATGGGCTAAGTTTTACCTAACTTCAGATAAATATGAAAAATTATATTGATTTACTATTTGAGTTTAAAAATATTAAAGCAAAACGCACTAGGTATCTATCTGAAGCTTTTTATGCTTTTATGTTTTTTTTTTCTTTTACTTGTATGATTATTTTTTTAAATTACACTGTATATTTTCCTTCCCTTTTATTGTAGTCTATATTTGGATAATTTTTTACACTATAAGTTGGATTATTGTCATGTTTACTATTTATATGTGGCTATTTATAAGTTTGATAATTATGTTTATGACATATTTATGTTGTCTTGGTAATCTCAAGTTTTCATTACCAAGACACTGTCAGGTTATGATGCATTAGTTGTTATTATGATGTAGTGGTTTATGTCAAGCTGTCATCCCAAAGACATCTCAAACAATTTAATATTTGCATTATAAATGTCATAATTGAGTGAATGACACTTACTGACAGTTGTCATAAACACCTCCTTCATATTCATGACGTGTGTGATGTCAGTCTAATGCACACCCCTTCAAGAAAAGTGGTACCGGAAATGCCAGATAGAAATTTTATTTATTATTGTTGCAAAAAAATGCAGAGTTGACATATTTATAAAACACAAAATAACAACAATGCACCTTTTGTCAACAGGATACAGAGAAAAAATGAACAATGATTGGCTAGTGAGAAAAAAAGACAAGGTTCAAAAACGGTTTGCTTTTAGTGAGTCAGCTATTTAACAATAAATTATGTACATTGTGTCCTAACTTGATTTACTTGCTTAATTAGTTACTTTTAAGATAATGTGAACATCACAAAAAAGGTTGCACATGTTCTTTGCAAAAAGGTGAAGCCACAGACCTTCGTATCTCCTAATAATAAGGCCATCTCTACTAGAAACTTCCAGGGAGCGATATTATTTTTCTCAGGATGGTAGGGGAAGTTACTGCCTTTTTCGCCTCTGATTGGCTAGAAGGGCTTTCATTTGATTGGTTATTTGATTTGTGTGTGTGTGTGCGATGGGTAGGTTTGGATATTGTATGTGTGTATATGTGTATCAGAGATGATGTTTCACGGCCAAATCAAATAACCAATCGGAGGAGAGCCCCCTTCTAGCCAATCAGAGGCGAAAAAGGCCGTACCTTCCCCTACCATCCTGAGAAAAAAAATATCGCTTCCAGGCTGGTGTGTTGAAGAAACCCTCCAGGACTGAGATTGGACACCCCTGATCTAGAGGATATTGTGCTTTTCGGACAAACTGATTTTTTTTTTTTTTATATATATATTTGACACAATTTACTTGTGAGGTATTTGACAAGAAAACTAATGTTTCTCACTTGGAACATTTTTTCATGTGAGTGTGAAGGCTTGATGAACATTTGAAACTCTTCTCACACTGAGTACAGTGATACGGCTTCTCTCCAGTATGAAGTCGCTCGTGTGATTTCAGGTTTTCAGAACGAGCAAAACTCTCATCACAATATGAGCACTTGTAAGGTTTTTCTCCAGTATGAATTCTTTTGTGCCGTTTCAGATCAACATCTCTTGTAAAGCTCTTCCCACAGTCACAACACACATGATCGCTCACTTCATTGTGTGTTTTCTGGTGCCGTTTCAAACTTCTTAGCCATAAAAAACTCTTTCCACAGAGAGAACACACATAAGGCTTCTCATCTGAATGAACTTTCAGGTGTGATTTTAGTTGTGATGATGTAATAAACTCTTTACCACACTGATCACAGTTAAATGGTTTTTCTCCAGAGTGAATGAGCAGATGATATTTGAGACCTTTGGAACATGTGAAACTCTTGCCACACTCAGTACAGTAGTACGGCTTCTCTCCAGTATGAAGTCGCTCGTGTGATTTCTGTTTATCAGAACGAGTGAAACTCTGGTCACAGTATGAGCACTTGTAAGGTTTTTCTCCAGTATGAATTCTTTGATGATTTTTCAGTTTGTCAGATCTAGAAAAGCTCTTCCCACAGTCACAACACACATGATCTCTCACTTCATTATGTGTTTTCTGGTGTGTTTTACAATTATCCAGTCTTGAAAAACTCTTTCCACAGAGAGAACACACATAAGGCTTCTCATCTGAATGAACTTTCAAGTGTTGTTTTAAATTTGATGAGGAATGAAAATCTTTACCACACTGATCACAGTTGAAGGGTCTCTCTCCAGAGTGAACATGCAGATGCTTGGTGAGATCTGATGCAAAAGCAAATCCCTTCCCACACTGAGTGCATGTATGCGGTTTCTCTCCGGTGTGAATCGTTGTGTGTTTTGTAAGGTATCCTTTGTGTCTGAAACTCTTTCCACACTCAGAGCAGGAGTGCCGCTTATTGGCTTTTGTTCTTTGAGTTTTGATTCTTTGCTTTTCCTCCTCTGCTTCATTCAGTTCATGTTTTTGTGGTTTCATCTCCATCCAGTCTAAAAAATATATATATATATATATTATGGGGTTAAAAATTGATTTAAAAGAAGAAAGCAAGAGCAGCAACATCGCATTTCCGATCTTTGATTTGCCAAAAGTTAGTTCTCTCTTTCTTTTTAATTAGTTTAAAATATGGATGACAACAGCTGTACAATATTATTATGATCATTTAGATGTATCATTTATTAGGGATGCACCGATACCAAACTCATGTACTTGTACCTGTAAAAATGCTCCGGTAACAACAACCGATACCAGGCAGCGTGTGCAGTGTTTGTGTCCAGACAAAGAAACACGACAACAGACTATATAAAGGGGATTAAAGGGGTGGTAAAGTATGATTTCACTTTTCTAAATTGCATTCTAACTAGCATGAAAATAACTGATGGAAATATATATTTGATGAACAAATTAAGCCAACTAATATGATTCATATTTTTTTGGTTTCTCTACCAATACATTTAAAAATTACAAATACGGTGAAAATACAATATCGATTGTGGTATCGGTCTTGGCGAGTACCAAGAATGAAAGTATCGGTATCGGACTCGTACTGGAAAAAGTGATATCGGTCCATCTCAACGGAATAATCTGAAGCCAAATGTGTTGAACTAAAGCTTTGTTACCTTAATGTTGCTCAGCAGTCAACAATGAAGAATCAAGAATGGACACCAACCTATTTGTTCCTCAGTATCTTCATGTTTTATTCTGGATGGTTCTGGATCAGTCATGTCTTCAATCTCTTCTTTAATAAACTCCATCTTTAACAGTCACACAGATTTCAGCTGCTACTCCTGGAGTTTGTCCTTCTCTTGTAGGATGATGGGAATATTCCCAGTATTTATTGGTGAATTGTTGTGGGAGGGGGTTCACTGCAGGTGTGAACTGTGATCACTGTGTGATACTGACGCCCACAGGACCAGATCTGGAAAAATCAAAAACAAGTTACTTAATTTAAACTGGACTACTTTAAAGTGCCCCAATTATAATGATTATTTTGGCATAATATCAGGTTTACATCGACTGAAGCGATAAACTCAGACAGATTGCAAAAGTGCAGCAGGCTACGCAACGCAATACTCGTTCCCTATTCTTGGGGAACCAAGGTTACGCTAGTAACTGAGCACGTTCGCATTCGAGAACAGTTACTTTTGCGTAGCTAATCCGCAGTGGGGACGCAATGTAAAACGCCTCACTTTTAACAACTGACTCCGTTCCGCACTGAAACCTAGGGTGAACATATCATTTCAAATTGTTCTGATACTAGAAAACAATTATAAGTTATTTAGCTGGGATCATTGTTTTAAAACAACACAGTGTCTATGGTAACAACATAAACTGTAAAATAATGTTAAAAAAAGATGTGATTTAAACACTTCTTTATGATAAACCTCACATTTAAACATAATAAATGATTATTTACGTAATGTCATATGAACTAGCCTAGTTAAAACGGCAGATAGGCTGAAAGAAAATTCAGAATTCTCTCTCTGATAAAAGGTGGTCTTTATGGAAAAGCAGAAATACTAAAAAATGGTTACTCCTGAACACAAGCAGTTTATATAAATATATATAAAATAATAGTAAAAAATGATTATATGTTTAAATCTTTTTACTATTGAGGTATGTGTTTGGATAAATTACCATTTTAGTTTTGTTTTATAAACTACTGAGAACATTTTTCCCAAATTCCAAATAAAAATATTGTCATTTAGAGCATTTATTTTCAGATAACGACAACTGGTCTATTTAACTATTTTCTGAACTTTAAAGTTTATTCAGTTCAGAAGTTAAAACGTTAGGATTGTGTTGTTTAAAAATGAATTTTCTTTCCATTATTCGAGGTGTGACAACAGCTTAGTTTATTTTGGCCAGTTGTCGTTTTCTGCAAATAAATGTTCTAAATGACAATAATTTAATTTGAAATTTGGGAGAAATGTTCTCAGTAGTTTATAGAATAAAACAAAAAATGTAATTTAATTTTACCCAAACACATACCTAGAGAAACTGATAATTTTGCAGCAAGGGTCTCTTAATTTTTTGTTCTTCATATGTTTTTTCTTCTTATCCATCACGCGTTTATTTGTACTTTTCGTTTTTGGTGTATAATTCCATTGTTCTCGTCTTTTTTTTTGCATGCACATTAAATAATATCAGACTAGTTTACGGTTGCCGTTATTGAACAAACACTCATGTGATCCGTTTTGCAACAAGATTCAGGTAAAATCACAGCACTACATACCCGACATGCTGTAGTACTTGGAGATTTTTGATCACATATGAATGTATCCAGAAATTGTTCAATAATTCCTGTAGCTTTTCTCTCAGTGCAACTAAAGCCGCAGTTAGCATTTAGCAATAGCACTATCAACAAGACGCGTAGGGGGGCGGGGCTCTGGTGTGCTTTACAGAATTTAGACTACTTAAAATGTATTTAGAGATATGATATTGTTTTCATTTAGAAACACTTTTCATTCAATTCATTAGGTACGAAATTGTGCTGAAACGAATCGAAAGGAATGCAAATAACAAAATTAAAGGGTTCACGACACTAAAATGTGCATAAAGTCAAAAATGCAAATAAGAAAAGGGGAAACATGGGGGTAAGAAGTTAGTTAGGGTTACGCAAATAGAAACGGTTCATTTGCTTTCTTATTTACTGAAGATTAAATAGATTTGAGATATTCAGTTATTTTTTATATAATTTTATAAAGTTTATTGTTGGTGCATTTGTGATTATAAAATGCGCAAAGAACATACATTTATAACAAAGCTATTATTTTATTTAGCTGAGTCAGATTCATAGTGTCCTAATGTCTTGTCTTACATTTTGCAGGATATTAAGATAAAAGATAAATGTGCCAAATACTCTTCCAAAGTTAGTGACAGTCGAAGCATAAATGAAAGACATTCTCTGTGAATATTTTACATGTCTTCATTCTCGTTGTAAATCAAGCCCAGTTTTTTTATGTGTGTGTGTGTCTAGATAAATAATGTATGAAAAGTCACAAAATCTTATCCCACTGAGATGAAGGGAACCTTTTCTTATTGAGTAAAAGTCCCCATGACCCGATTGAGGGCTACAGGTGTTAGTTGTTAAAATGACAAAAATGTTTTTTTTTTTAGGTTGTTTACATTTTTAGTCTGCTCTGCGTCAGTGGCCTAACATCGCTCGGCAATGCCAAAATGACAGAGATGGTCAATGAAATCAAAGAAGGCAGGTCTTAACTGTCATAACACAAGGGTTTGTGGAAAGATACAAGTAGATGTAAGAAGCCTATTTAGACAAATGTTCAGCAACCGACAATAATAGGCTATCTAATGCTGTGATTCCCAACCCTGTTACTGGAGATATCTGGTCTTTACTCATGAGCTGATGAGTTGATTCAGGGGTTTGAATAGGAAGAGTTGGAAAATGTGTAGTGTTAGTGTGCCTCCAGGAACAGGGTTGGGAAATACTGATCTAGCAATGCCAAGTATTCAAATTTTTATGTGTTTTTTGCCATTTTTAAAACGAAAATATGCTCTTTTGAATCATTGAATTAAAAAAATGAATGTGACAAGACAAGAAACGTTCGTGTTTGACATATTAGGCATACGAATAAGCACAAAAGTGGAAGTTTTTTTATTGAAAACATTATAAGCAAAGAAGAAAACAGTCACAATATAGAACAAATAAATGGAAAGAAAAAAAGACACAAGACAGGGATAGGCTACATAACTAATCAGAAAATATTACATATCAAACGAAAAGATTAAAAGACTAACATATTTCAATTGTTTTAAAGCTTTCTTGGTACACGAGTTAGAGATAATCCCAAAGTAATGTTGTTGCAAGCGTTTCTAGCTAATAGGTATGTCGACGTACACAGTGACGTAACGACGTCGTTCACTGGGCGCTCTAGTGGAAATTGGAAGAACAACCAGGTTCTGAACGGGTTCGCAGTTTGAACCAACTCCGAGCCAACTTTGAACCAGCACCATTTCCGAATGAACCTTCTGGTGATGTTTTAGATTTGACGACGAAACAAAATCTTTACCACACTGATCACAGTGAAATGGTTTCTCTCCAGTGTGAATTCTCATGTGTACAGTAAGGCCGTCTTTTTTACAGAAACCCTTTCCACAGTGAGTGCATGTATACGGTTTCTCTCCTGTGTGAATTCTCATGTGTGTTTTAAGGTTTCCATTTTGTCTGAAACTCTTTCCACACTGAGTGCAGGGGTAAAACTTAAAACCTCTGATCCTCGGCTGTTTCTCCTTTGCTTCTTTCGGTTCATGTCTTTGCTTATTCGCTTCCATCCAGTCTAAAATAAAAACATTACGTGGTTAAACAGAAGAGAGCAACAGAGTATCAAGTATCAGATCTTTGATTTGCCAAACTTTAGTTTATTAACTTTCTTGTTAATGCATTTAAAATGTAAATAACAACAGCTATTCAAGATTTTGACCATTTAGATGCATTTTCTGTCTCATTAGTTCTCATACAATCTACTGAACTCAAGCTTTGTTACCTTAATGTTTCTTAACAGTCAAGATCATGAAGAATCAAGAATGGACACCAACCTATTTGTTCCTCAGTCTCTTCTTGTTTTACACTGGATGGTTCTAGATAACTCATGTCTTCAATCTCCTCTTTAATAACCTCCATCTTTAACAGTCACACAGATTTCAGCTGCTACTCCTGGAGTTTGTCCTTCTCTTGTAGGATGATGGGAATATTCCCAGTATTTATTGGTGAATTGTTGTGGGAGGGGCTTCACTGCAGGTGTGAACTGTGATCACTGTGTGATACTGACGCCCACAGGACCAGATCTGGGAAAAACAGAGATAATTTACTGAATTTATACTTAATTACTTTAAGTGCAAAACAAATATGGTGCATTAAATTTAGTTCAAATATAGAGAATTTTGATGGTTATATTATTAAAGGGCCCTATTTTAATGATCTTAGTGAATGATCTACTCTATTGTAAGTTACATGTTTGTTTGTTTGTTTTTTTGCTGTTGTTTTACACTATTCTTAAAAAAAAAATATTTCATTCTAGAGATTCGTTCAAAACGGGATGTGTCCAGTAATGGAACATGCGAGTTAATTCAAAACAATTTAGAAAAATAATTTTAAATGAATAAAATATTTAGTCTTTAAATGTAAAGACTACATTCTATTGCCAGCTGCCAAATCACCCTGTAGCCCAAGACTGGTTGCCCACTGAAGCTAAGTACCTGGATTGGAGACCTGAGAAAACCAGGTTGCTGCTGGAAAAGGTGTTAGTGTTTTTTGTTTGTTTCTTTTCTTTTTCTTTCGTAAATATTTAGACAGTTTGCACGCTGTTACACCTTTACAACGCTTCTTCATATGATTCATGCTTGAACGTCTACAGTAACTTATGCTGCGTTCACGTGCTATGGAAAATAGGATGTTTTCCACTTGTGAACTGGTACCAGTGTGTTGCGTTCAAGTGATTTTGTTGTCGTAATGTGGTAAAAAGACGGAGATCCAGACCTGTTATTTAGCTAAAACTATTTTAGATTGCTAAGACATCTGCAACAGCAAGAAAATGATTTATCAAAACTCAAAAGCTAAATGATATACTGTATATTTTCTAGATCATGAATCGTATGTTTACCATTCACGACTCTCGCGTTGCTCTTCTCCGCCATTTTGAAAAGGTCAAAGGTTATCTCATCTCGGCAACTCGTCCATCAAAATCATAGATCAAAATATTCTACGAGTTGCCCAGTGGAAAATACCACATGAGGGGGTGCTCATGTGCATTTTCCACGTCGGCTTTTTTGGTATTTATTACCATAACACATGACCGCAGCATTAGTGCAGTGCAGACAAACCTTTGATGGCTTGTACTCTGGAGCTGGTTAATGTTAAACTCTGTAATCTGAGAACATCTCTCACCTGCAGACTGGAAATTAAAGGCATCCAGAGAAAATATTCCACAATTGCCTTTCAATCACGATCACGCCTCAACTGGTGGTTAAAGAAGTTTTCGCTCGACTCGTCTCGTTTTTTTCTTCTGCGCATCCTCAGTGCGCAGTGTCATATTTCTTAAAGGGGCCGCATATTATTCAAGTGCAGCAAATTAAAAATTTTCAAGCTGAGCCCGTTTTTTTAAGGCGACTTTTTTTTTTTTTTTTTAATAATGCATCAGTGCTGCTGTATGATAAATGTATTGTTTTTATTTCATTTTTGCTTTAAAAAAAACAAAAAAAAAAAAACACTTGTTAACTTGTCGACAAATGAGATTATATATATATAAGTACAAGACTTGTCTGTACATGAAATAATTTAATATAGACCAAATACATCGAGACAGATTTTTGCCCAAAAATAAATAAAAATTACAAGAGTTGTTGAAGTCTTTTTTTGTTGTTGTTGAAGAAAAAAAAAACCTAGATATTTTATCTTGCAGAATTTACCTGAAAGCATTTGACATGAAAACAAATGTTGACTCCCAACTCTTTATTTATAGTGCACTTTCAACACCACAAGTGATGTGCAGAAAAAGATAAAATATAAAAGTCATAAAAACAATGCAAACATATGATATACACTGCTTACAGGTTCAAATTCTAAAACAAATAAATAAGTTAAGTGCACTCTGAAATACACCCAATGTAGGAGAAGATTAAACAGATAGAGGAAGGTCATTCCAGAGTCTAGGAGCTTCAACAGAAAATGCCTGATCACCTTTACATTTTAAACACCATGATAATTAGAGGGCAGAGATCTAGCGGATTTATAGAGACTGGTTAAACCAGTAACCCATGCAAAGCTTTTTTTAGGTAAAAATCTAGACTTAAACTTGTCTTTAAAAACAGGCCAAGTGATTTCGCCAGCATTAAACCAAGTCTCAGTGACGAATTCAAATTTTATGAGAAAGAGATCACTCAAAATAAAAGGCATATTTACAAGAGATCTGACATTAATCAACACCATTTTCACTGAATGATGTCAGGCGAGTATTCAAAAGAGGAATCCTAAAAATTGGAATTCTTACATGGAGTACGGCTTCTCTCCAGTGTGAACTCGCTCATGTAATTTAAGGTTTCCAGACTGAGTGAAACTCTTGTCACAAACGGAGCACTTATAAGGTTTTTCTCCAGTGTGAACTCGCTCATGATATTTCAGGTTTCCAGACTGAGTGAAACTCTTGTCACAGTATGAGCACTTGTAAGGTCTTTCTCCAGTATGAATCCTCTGGTGCTGTTTCAGATGACCATCTGTAATAAAGCTCTTCCCACAGTCACAACACACATGATCTCTCACTTCATCATGTGTTTTCTGGTGCACTTTAAAACTGTCCATCCGAGAAAAACTCTTTCCACAGAGAGAACACAAGTGAGGCTTAACACCTGTATGAACAGTTAGATGTTTTTTGAGATATGATGGTGAAGTAAAATCTTTCCCACAATGATCACAGTTATATGGCTTTTCGCCAGAGTGAATGTGCAGATGATACTTGAAAGATTTTGGACATTTAAAACTCTTCTCACAATGAGTACATTGGTAAGGCTTCTCTCCAGTGTGAACTCGTTGATGGTGTTTCAGTTCACTAGTTGTAGAAAAGCTCTTCCCACACTCAAAGCACACATGATCTCTCATTTCATTATGTGTTTTCTGGTGCGTTTTATAATTGTCCATTCGTGAAAAACTCTTTCCACAGAGAGAACACACATACGGCATCTCGTCTGAATGAACTTTGAGATGTGTTATTAGATGTGATGACGAAATAAAATCTTTTCCACACTGATCACAGTGAAATGGTTTTTCTCCAGAGTGAATGCGCAGATGAATTTTGAGTATGGATGAAGATGTGAAACTCTTTCCACACTGAGTGCATGGATACGGTTTCTCTCCAGTGTGAATTCTCATGTGTGCGTTAAGGTTTTGTTCATTTTGCAAACTCTTTCCACACTGAGAGCAGGAGTGCAGCTTTTTGGCTTTTGTTCCTTGAGTTTTGTCCCCGTCTTTCTTTACTTCTTTCAGGTCTTCTCTTAGCTCCATTATTTCCTTATGATCTAAAATAAACATTAAGTAGTTATAATCACTTTAAGAAGTATAAATTCAAGTGAACAAGAGAGTCGGTTTCAGTCTATGCAAGTATAAAGTATCAGATCTTTGATCATTTTCCAATTACACGATGTCTGATGGCTGTCCAAATACTGCCCTGATGTCTGAGCTAAAACAAAGCAAAATCTGGGCTGTCAGTAGAAATATAATAGACGTCTAACCATAGCTCAAGAATAGACTAGTCATCAATTAGATAACATGTCAGAATAATAAAACCAAACACCACCTTGTTATCGCTGTTGACTTGGCTTGCATTATGGAATATCATATATCTCTTAATTTATTTTTTGTCAAAAATGACGTGTAAGTAAATTCAAGGTTATTTTGGCTAGAAGTGGGTTACTCATAGCCGGACTATATCGGGGCTTTAGTTAACCTAGACGGTGAAATGGTGACCATTGTTTGTGGGTTTGTTATATCATTTTCATTCATTTGAATGATTAAAGTGTTTTTGACATCTGCTATATACAAGGTGATGATGATTTATTTTAGATTCATCAATTTCTAAATAATTTATCATCCATATACTACTTATTCCACAGCTAATAAAGCAGTCAACAATAAAGAATCAAGAATGGACACCAACCTATTTGTTCCTCAGTATCTTCATGTTTTATTCTGGATGGTTCTGGATCAGTCATGTCTTCAATCTCCACTTTAATAACCTCCATCTCCTCTTTAATAAACTCCATCTCCTCTTTAATAAACTCCATCTTGAACAGTCGCGCAGATTTCAGCTGCTACACTTGTAGGATGATGGGAATATTCCCAGTATTTATTGGTGAATTGTTGTGGGAGAGGCTTCACTGCAGGTGTGAACTGTGATCACTGTGTGATACTGTGAAAAATATAAATAAATACATTTAAAAAGAAAACACATATGGTGCCGTTTTCCCGCATAACATTTTATCTTATGTATTAACTGGATTGTTCTTTCTCGGTGGATCTGAAGGATGCAGGTGTAACCCTAATGACCTGACATATCGTTTTTGAGATTCGCGTTTGAACAGGTGGTCTACCGGTATACGGTCCTACCATTCAGACTTTCCCTGGCACCACACACTTTTATGAAGTGCAAGGATGCAGCACTTTCTCCCGAGACAGAAAGGGTTGCACATCCTAAATCGAGAGTTCAAGAGATTTCCACGACGCATGCACGAGAATTGCGATCTTCTTCAACTACTTCAGTTCAGTTCTCGCGCATGCGTCGTGGAAATCTCTTGAACTCTCGTCTCAGGCCTACAAGGAAGTAAAGTAATAGTCGAAAAGTAATAGTCGTTTTTTCGCACAAAAAGTATTCTCGCCGCTTGATAAACTTATAGTTGAGCCACTGTTGTCACATGGAATATTTAAACATTTTCTTTAATGACTTTCTGGGCCGTCAAGTTTCGATCCCTTTTAGGCAGCCTATGTAGCAGTGATCCACCTCTCAAATTTAATCAAAAATATTTTCGTTTGTGTTCCGAAGACGAACGAAGGTCTTACGGGGTTGGTACAGCATGGGGGGTGAGTAATTAATGACTTAATTTTCACTTTTGGGTGAACTAAACCTTTAAATCTCTTTTTGGGTTTATTTAATCTGTAAAAGAAAACATGCCTAATAATTATGCACACCTTACCCCTGGCAAAATGTGATGTAAGTCTTTGTTTATGTTTATATCCGCAATATTGGAAACTGCACAATGTATTTTCTTTTATAATGGAGAGGAATATTCTTGTAAACTGTGCAATTGTTGAATAAAATAATAATAATAATAATAATTATGCACACCTGAATATAACCTCTGTCATTTTGTGTGTTAGACTCGGTTAGACTTAATTTGCTAATTTTCAGTTACTTGTTTTTTTTTTTTTTTTGTTGTTGCTGCTTTTGTTGTGCCCAATTCTCATCGATCCATAAAAAAATAGTTAATTCATGAAATTCGTTCAGAAAGCGTATACATCCAGTAATGAAACAAGTGAAGGGCTGATTGAATCATTCATTCAAAACGATGAGGGAAAAAAAATCTTTAAATATATTCCATCTATAAATAGACTCACTGCATTTCAACAATTGTTGGTTTTTTTTGTTTTGTTTTTTTTTGCAGACAAACCTTATTCCCGATATGAGGGCAAACTTAAACTCATCTGTAATCTCTCACCTGCAGACAAGAAATATACTACGTCCGGAAAAAAAATCATCTTCCACATTTGGCCTTCATTCGCGATCGTTAACAACATCTCTTTCAGCCTCAATTGGTGAACGTTACAGCTCGTCTCTTTCAGATAATGTCTAATTAACGGGCTCTGTCTCTTCCATTGACAGTCTCTTCTCGTATTGTCTCTCTCGCTTCTCTCTTCTGCGCAGCTGCAGTGAGCGATGTCGTCATGTTTCTTAAAGGGGCCGCATTTTTTAGCATTGTATTTAAAGGGTTAGTTCATTTAGTGAGTCAATTTTCAGGCAAGGCAATCGATTTGCCTGTTTTTTAAAGTAAGGTTAACTCATTAGAAATAGCACTTCTAACACTTTACTATAATTTCTATGACTGCTACTAGTCCATCATTATCAACAAAATCCATCTTTTTTTTTGTCTAAAATTTAAAGTTACGGAATGTCACATTTTCATATAAGCTGATATTCTGGAAAACAGCACCCTTGGTTCTATGTTGCTTGGTTTGATGAGTTGTTCCTCATATAAATATGAAAACTGGAACATTACATATTTGTCTCTCTAATATCTTGATTTTTGTTATTTTTAGGTAACAAGTATAGTTAGTATAGAAATGATTAATCTCAATAAAGAAATGTGACAAAAAAACATACAGTAAATGTTCACTCGTTTGAAATAAAAGCCTGAAAGTCTGTGCAGTCTTGAGAGTACAAACAAACAGGAGCAAATGTGATTGAATTTTATATGGTCTGTATAGTAGAAATGTGGTTAATGTTTTCTGACAGGCATATAAATGAACAAATCAAATAAGTGCAAACAGGTAAAAGTGAAGCCACTACCGGACAGAAGAGAGTCCGGCTGTGGTCAAAACACACATGATTTCTCTCATGGTCTGTATTTTCTGGTGCCGCTTACAGTCCAGCAGTGAACAACTATTTCCACAAACACATTTTAGACTTGTTTTCAGTTTAAACAATCACAGCTAAACACTTTTTGTCAAGACAAGATGTTTTTTCAATTTATTTTTCGTAAGTGCATGTTCTTTAAGAAGACAATATAGTAAACTTAGTAAATAAGTATGACATGAATATATAAAATTCAAGATAGATTTGGCAAAAAATAAAAAATAAATAAATGTATTTACACTTTCGAAGCTTCAACTCTTAAATCGTTCTAGTCTTCCATTCATTTTAACCAAAAAAAAAAAAAAATAGACAATCAACCTGAATAAAAAAAATAGATTTCAAATGAATATTTGAAATGAAACCGAATGTTGATCACATGCAACAGTTTTTCATATGGGCATGAAGGCTTGATAAATGTTTAAAACTCTTTCCACACAGAGTGCAGTCGTACGGCTTCTCTCCAGTGTGAACTCGCTCGTGTGAATTCAGGTTTCCAGACTGAGTGAAACTCTGGTCACAATATGAGCACTTGTAAGGTCTATCTCCAGTATGAATTCTTTGGTGCTGTTTCAGATGACTAGATGTAGTAAAGCTCTTCCCACAGTCACAACACACATGATCTCTCACTTCATCATGTGTTTTCTGGTGCCGTTTACAACTGATCAGTCGTGAAAAACTCTTTCCACAGAGAGAACACACATAAGGCTTCTCATCTGAATGAACTTTCAGGTGTTGTTTTAGATGTGATGACAAAATAAACTCTTTTCCACACTGATCACAGTGAAATGGTCTTTCTCCAGAGTGAACACGCAGATGAATTTTGAGTAATGATGAAGATGTGAAACTCTTCTCACACTGAGTGCATGGATACGGTTTCTCTCCAGTGTGAACTCTTATGTGTCTGTTAAGGTCTCCTTTTTGACTGAAACTCTTTCCACATTGAGAGCAGGAGTGCAGCTTTTTGGCTTTTGTTTCTTCAGTTTTGAAGTCACAGTGTTTCTCTACTTCATTCAGGTCTTCTCTTCGCTCTGTTATTCCCATCTGATCTAAAAAAAAAAACATTAATTAACAGTTTAAGGATGATCATTTCAAGGAAAATTCATACTTTTTTAAAGTTAACACAAGCAGACGACAAGACAACAGCCTAGGTTTCTGTCTGTGTAAGTATAAAGTATCACGTTTGACGTTAAAGGTTTGTTATATAATTACCGTAACATTAATTTGAATACTTAAAATGTATTTGACACATTGATACAAGGTTAGGATAAATTAGTTGAATTTCTACATAATTTATGATCAATAAACTAGTTATTATTTCACAGCCACCAAAGCAGTCAACAATGAAGACTCAAGAATGGACACCAACCTGTTTGTTCCTCAGTATCTTCATGTTTTATTCTGGATGGTTCTGGATCAGTCATGTCTTCAATCTCCACTTTAATAAACTCCATCTTTAACAGTCACACAGATTTCAGCTGCTACTCCTGGAGTTTGTCCTTTTCTTGTAGGATGATGGGAATATTCCCAGTATTTATTGGTGAATTGTTGTGGGAGGGGCTTCACTGCAGGTGTGAACTGTGATCACTGTATGATACTGACGCCCACAGGACCAGATCTGGGAAAAAACAAAAGATTAAAAACACTAACACATTAACAGAAAACACATATGGTCCCTTTTCCCACCCATTCTTTGGCAAGAGCAAGACCAGCCGCTTATATAGGCACATGCCCCGCCCCCTACGGCAGGCTCTGCCCCGATTGGTTTGAGCAAATATGCAGCATCGGGAATCTCGCTTGTTGTTTCGCTTCCAGGGAGATGTAGTTCATTGAGCGATTTTCACATACAACTTAGTTACTCTTCTGTTTTATGACAAACGGTGACGTTTTCGACTTTCAGAATTATCTTTTAAATTGAAAAACATCATATGTGTAATTCAGGGCACAACTCAGACGGAATAAAAAGATAAGTTGTCTCTCGCCATTGACTACGATACATATTTTTTCCGAAATAAGGTCCCATGAGCCGGAAGCGGAGGGGCGGGACTTAGGCTCACTATTATCTCAGGGAACCAAGGTTACGTTAGTTAACACTAGAAAATGCCTTGGAGTATTACTTTATAACCTGTCATTTTGTTAGACTCTCAATTTGCAAATTTTCAGTAACATATTTTTTGTTGTTGTTGTTTTTGTAATGCCCAATTCTCATCAATCCTTGAATTATTTAAAACGATGAGGAATATATATATATATATATATATTGCATTGCAACATTTTTTTTCCAGAGCCTCTAGTAAATTACATATTATTTGGTTTAATTGTATATTCAGAATCCTAGTTTCTATTTTAAACAAAACGTGATTCTCAATTTATCCAGAATAACCTACATCTCTACAGAAAGGGTGACATTACTTTAACAATACAAACGTATAAATATTTGTCACACCAATAAAAAAAACCTGCAAACAAACTCACTAGATGACTGGATATGCTCACTGTGACTGTGTGACACTTGGACGCTTCTTTATATGATTCACTGCTGAGCTTGAATGTCTAAATCTCTCTCCACATTAGTGCAGCTTCACTCCATATGAACTCGCTCGTGTGAGTGCAGACAAACCTTATTCCCGATATGAGGGCTTACACTCTGGAGCTGGTAACATCTCTCACCTGCAGAAGGGAAATTTACGGCATGCGGAGAAAATCTTGCTAATTTATCCTTCATTCGCGTCACGATCGCCCCTTCCAGCCTCATCTAGTGAAAGCGCCTCGTTTCTCTTCCGCGCAGGCGCAGTGCGCGATGTCATATTTCTTAAAGGGGGCGCACAGTGTTGTAGTCGAGACCACCTCACTCGAGTCCGAGTCGACACCGAGACCAGAGAGAGTCGAGTCCGAGTCAATTTTATTTTTGTAATTTTATTATAATTTGTCATGCACAGTTGCGCACTAGAAAATCACCTATCACTGGGCGTGTCAATCAATTTAAAGAAATATTTTATTAACATACATTAATAACCATGAATTTTTTTTTTAATTGAACTCGAGTGGACTCGGGAGTAATTCCGAGTCCTAAAAAAAAAAAAAATGTTCGAGTACGAGTCAATTCCGAGTCCATGACAAGACCAAGACCATTAAAATATGGTCTCGAGACCGAGTCCGAGTCTCGAGTACTACAACACTAGGGGCGCATGTTACCTTTGTATTCAAAGTGTTACTTCATTCATAGGCACTAGGTCGGGAAAGTAACGCAATCGATTTGCTCGCTTTTTAAAGTAAGATTTACTAATTACAAATAACAGTTTGAACACTTTACTATAATTTCTATGGGTGCTAGTCAATCATTACCAAACTTTATTTATCTAAAATCTAAAGTTACCCAAACTTGGTCACAGAGCAGTTGCATGATGTCACATTTACATTCAAGCTGATATTCGAGAAAACAGCACTCTTGGTTTTGTTGTTTGATTACATGATGCTTGAGTTGTTCCTCTTATTAACAACTGAGGAAAATTTAATATATTTTTACCCCATCTTGAATTTAGGAGGCATTTGTGTTATTTTAAATTACATTTCTGCCCCAGTGTAACAGGTAACAAACAGTATAGTGAGACAGTATCATAATGATCAATCTCAAAGAAATGTGAAATGAAAAAATAAATAAATAAATAAATGTTCACTCTTTTGAACTAAAAGTCTGCAAGAGAGTTATTTTGTGCAGTCTTGTGAGCACAAACAAACAGGAGAAAGTGTGATTGAATTTGATATGGTCTGTACAGCAGAAATGCGGTTAATTTTTTCATGTAATGTTTGCTATTTCCACAAAGACATATTAATAGACTTGTTGTCAGTTTAAACAATCACAGCCCAGATAGCACAAGTCTATTTAATGTGATGTTTACATCTGGAAGACGTATTTTTAAGAGTTTTTTTTGCAACAAAAATATATATTTACACTTTTGAAGCTTCACCTCTCAAACATTTTTACAATCTCACATCAGACAATCTCAATTTTATCAAGCAGAATTTACCTGCGTGTATTTGATCTAGAATTGAATGTTGATCGCTTGCAACAGTTTTTCATGTGATAGTAAAGGCTTGATAAACGTCCAAAAAACTTCTCACACTGAGTACAGTAGTACGGCTTCTCTCCAGTATGAACTCGCTCGTGTACTTTCAGGTTTCCAGAATGAGTGAATCTCTTGTCACAGTATGAGCACTTGTAAGGTTTTTTTCCAGTATGAATTATTTGGTGCCGATTCAGATTACGAGATGTAGTAAATCTCTTCCCACAGTCACAGCACACATGGTCTCTCACTTCATCGTGTGTTTTCTGGTGTTGTTTAAAACTGTCCAGTCTTGAAAACCTATTTCCACAGAGAGAACACACATGAGGCTTCTCATCTGAATGAACTTTCAGGTGTTGTTTTAGATGTGATGACAAAATAAAGTCTTTTCCACACTGATCACAGTTATATGGTCTTTCTCCAGAGTGAATGAGCAGATGATGATGGAGACCTGATGAATCTTTGAAACTCTTCTCACACTGAGTACAGTGATACGGCTTCTCTCCAGTGTGAACTCGCTCGTGTGATTTCAGAGATCCAGACTCAGTGAAACTCTTGTCACAGTATGAGCACTTGAAAGGTTTTTCTCCAGTATGAATTCTTTGGTGCTGTTTTAGTTGACTAGGTGTAATAAAGCTCTTCCCACAGTCACAACACACATGATCTCTCACTTCATCATGTGTTTTCTGGTGCCGTTTTAAAGTGTCCAGCCTTGAAAAACTCTTTCCACAGAGAGAACACACATAAGACTTCTCATCTGAATGAACTATCAGGTGTTGTTTTAGATGTGATGATGAAATAAACCCTATACCGCACTGATCACAGTTAAATGGTCTTTCTCCAGAGTGAAAACGCATATGAATTTTGAGTATGTATGAAGATGTGAAACTCTTTCCACACTGAGTGCATGGATACGGTTTCTCTCCAGTGTGATTTCTCATGTGTCTGTTAAGGTTTTCTTTGTGTCTGAAACTCTTTCCACACTGTGAGCAGGAGTGCAGCTTTTTGGCTTTTGTTCCTTGAGTTTTGAAGTCATCGTGTTTCTTTACTTCATTCAGGTCTTCTCTTAGCTCTGTTTTTTCCATCTGACCTAAAATGAACACATCAAGTAGTTATAATCAGTTTAAGGAGGATCATTTCTAGGAAAATTCATGTGAACAACAAGCAGACAACAAGAGAAAAGGTTTCCGTCTGTGTGAGTATAAAGTATCAGATTGTTATATCATTCTGAATTTGAATAATAAAAATCAATTTGGCACATTGCTTTATACAACATTAAAGGTGCTATATGTATTTTTTAGCACCCTCTATCGGTGATGTTTCAGATTGCAACCAATTTTTACAAGAGCGCTCATGCTCGAACACAAGAGGGAGCAGTCACGGTAGAGGTCTTCACGGGTCCAAAAATTCATGCCCGAACCGAAAGAGACCCGTAATGTGCTACACCGAACCGACCCGGACCCGTCGTTCATTTCAAAAGTTGGACCCGGACCCGTGCAGACCCGAGAAATGTCATAAATGTACTGCCCGGACCCGACCTGGACCCGTCTATTATTTGAAAACTGGACCCGAACCGGGCAGAAAGACACAAACCCGACTGTCGTCACATATTATTTCACACGAGTTGCGAAAAATAAAAATAAAACCGTCGTCTCTCACTTCCTTGTAATGTTACCTGACTGACGGATGCATTACAATACACCGACAAGAAAGCTCGATTCGATTCACGTTTGGTCTGACGAGCATCAGCAGATTTGTGTTTTAAATTTAAGTGGAGTTTGTGTTTGAGTGTGTGTTGTGCTGGAGGCAGGAGTTTTTTGGTGTTATCAGACTCATGTCGTCAGTGCCGTCGCGCATAGACTGTATATAACAAGGAGAGAGGGTTCAAGAGCGCGCATGCATGTCACATTAGATAGCTTTCGCAGAAAATCCGACCGGGAGACTTCCCATAAAAATAGGAATACTGGCCTTCAGACTCAGAGGTAATAGCAAAACCCGACAAGTGGATCATTGTAATGTGTTATTACAACCCATTCAGACATATGCGATAAAAAAGGAAGAAAAGTTTTAGAAGAAAAGTTACGTATAGCACCTTTAACATAATTTAAGGTTAGAATCAATTAGATACATTTCTAAATCATTTATCATCATTATACAACTTATTATTTCACAGCCAACAAAGCGTCAACAATGAAGAATCAAGAATGGACACCAACCTATTTGTTCCTCAGTATCTTCATCTTTTATTCTGGATGGTTCTGGATCAGTCATGTCTTCAATCTCCTCTTTAATAAACTCCATCTTTAACAGTCACACAGATTTCAGCTGCTACTCCTGGAGTTTGTCCTTCTCTTGTAGGATGATGGGAATATTCCCAGTATTTATTGGTGAATTGTTGTGGGAGGGGCTTCACTGCAGGTGTGTACTGTGATAACTGTGTGATACTGACGCCCACAGGACCAGATCTGAAAAAAAAAAAGATTTTTAAAAGAATTTTTACTGGATTACTTTAACAGAAAACACTTATGATCCATTTCCCCCAATATTCTATGGTGAGAGGAGCCCTGTTATGCCCGTTATGCCTAGCAGGATGCTCCCGCTGTTGTTTTTTTTGTTCATACATTATGGACCATGGCAAGCAGACTTTGAGATTAAAAGAAGACTAAAACGAAGATCAACATCTTTGAGATACGAGAGTTGAATTAGGTTAATGCTTTGCGTCACATGAGTGTTGCATGTACTTTATTAGACAAGTGAGCAAAATGTACTGGTATACGTCTCTCATTAGCAATGGGCTATATGCACGCATAAGTTCCGCATTTGACGCAAGGATGCTCGTCTATTTCCGGTTGTGTAGATTAAAGCGGAGGAAAACCGGAGAAAACGGGATTATGGCAGAGTCTTCAATATTTACTGTCCTCCCGTCTTTGAAACGAAACGTACATACGTTTAGATGTAATTTTATATACAGTTATGTTTATTTGATATAATTTTAAAAAGAAGCATAAACACAACGAGGGGTGTCTGTTTATCTGTTTTTGTGACTAACGTTTCATTAGTATAACCATGGAATATAAAATTCAATATAAATTCTCGTTATTGCATTGGACTCTATGATCGGCGGAAGTTATCGAGCATCCCTAATGCTTCACCGGAAATACCGCCGTGCATAGAGCCCATTGCGCCACCACTGTCGTGTTAAAAACATCACTGCATTCACTCACTCATCCATAAAATATCCATCAGATTGACGACAAGATCCATAATTCCGCCTAATGCTTTGCGTCATCAAAATACGCCTTTGTTTTTGTAAGAGGTTAGCGGTGGCGAAAAATCCTGCATCGTATCTTTAATAAAAGACTAAAATAATAAGAGAATTTTTTTTTCCAGCAACATTTGACAAATTCCAAAATCCATTACTCTTTATAACTATGTTGTATTTTATCATTTATAAGTGATATATAATTGTACATGAAGGCTGGAAAGAAAATTCCTAATATTCATGTGTACATAATTATTAGCTATCTGATAATAAAGGTTTTTTAATTCTATAGAGTGCCATAGTAGTTCTAAAGTTCTTCTTTGGCTTAGTTCACCGAGGGCTTGTACTCTGGAGCTGGTTAATGTTAAACTCTGTAATCTGAGAACATATCTCACCTGCAGACTGGAAATATACGGCATCCGAAGAAAATATTTCACATTCATTCACGATCAAAATCAGCCGCTACAAACTCGAACTTCCGCCGAGTCTGACCGAGCGACTCGAGGAATCACTTCCGGGGCGAACCGGCCGCTGTTTCACTCTTAAAGGGGCCGCATGTTACACGCAAGAGTAGAAGTACCGAGAGGGGAAACTCCGTTGCAGATTTGAGCACAATATTTCTTTTTTTTTTTTTAAAGCTAAGTAAATCTGTACATTAACTCTCTCTTTCTGTATCAAATGTAATATGTGTTTTACACAAAAGATTTTATCAGTCAATAATTAAATTACAATAAAAACTCAAGATTAAAACATATGACAGCCACTTAGCATTGTCATTCTATGTGTAATAAATGTGTGCACTTGCAAAATGTTTGATTTGTTGTGTGTAATGCAGGTAGAAATGAATATAATCGATTTCAAATCACCACTTATTTATTTATTCTCATCTAAATACCATCACCACTTTTATTGTTACTGTTAATTTTGTAATGATCTTCTTTTACTATTATACGCTCACTCATGTGTCCCATTTCATTGTGTTTTTGGCTTTTTCGAGGAATTCAGTCTTTTCATTAGGAACAGGGGCTGCTAATTGTGCTGTCACATATATATACAATATGACCATCTTTATACAAACAAATTCAGTTGAATGCGCCGCGACTATCCAATAGAAGTAGAGCATATGGAGACGAGGGAAGTCTCTCGCAGATCCTCTGTTCTAGACTGGCCACTGGCTCAAAACCACGCCCATAGCAGTAAACTTGAGGAACGCCCATCAAAGTACAAATGTGGTGAGGCGTCGCGACAACACGCGACTGTCATGTCGGACAAGTGGATCTCTACTGTTAAGGCCAATTTATACTTCTGCGTCGGGGGTACGCCGATGTGAGCATTTACACTTCTGCGTTCAGGTGTTGGCTGCTCTGCAGTACTGCTCCGAAACGCTAGTGAGCAGCAGAGGGTTTTAAGGTTCCACTGTGTTTAGATTCCTGGCGGCTAGGTTACTACAAGCAATAGCGATTGAAAGAGAGCGGATCATGTTGGAGTTGGAGCTTGTGGTGGAAAAACAGTTAATTTTAGGGAAATTACTAAAACTGTTAGTTAGTTAGTTAGTTAGTTAGTGCTATTTGTGCACTCGTTCGACGCGAATTCGCACTTGTTGAAAAATCTGAACTTTGGCGTCAATTCGCGCCACATTAACCAATCAGGAGCCTAGCTGCTTGCTCACGTGGTGAAGGATCTGGATGCTTCAATTAATTATTTTGTAATATGTCTAAATGCATGGTGAGATTACTATGCATGCACAACAAAGCTAATATTTCATCACCGTAAATGGTGAAACTCGCCAAACGGTTCACCTCCGAAGGGTCCGGTGGACACAAATACGGCTGCGATGATCCCCAAACCACTGTTCTAGCTCTCCAGAACAAATACAGTGCGGTGAATCTCTCGATGAATGCTCGATCAACATAAAAAAAGATGGCCGCCAACGGGTTTCAATTTAAACGCACGTAGATTTCGCTTCAACCTTTTGATTTAACGCACGTCAGTTTCGCTCATGACGTGCGAATTAACACAAAGTGGTCAAGCGTCAAACTAGACTCGAATTTGACGCGCTATTCACATCCGGTGTGAACGTAGCATAACAACTTACATTTGCACAAAACAAAAGGCTGCGAATGCACTGTACGCAAATTAGAATTGAGATGAAGGTGTAAAATCGCGTACAAGGCGCGCTCGCTTACATGTTTCTCGGTTGAGCAGCACGCACGCGCATGATCCTGCTAAATCGATGATCGATACGTTTTATCAATTACATGTATTATGGACAATTAACCGATCGTCGATTAGTCGTTGATATCCCTAATATATATTTAGATATACACACTTTTGAAGCTTCACCTCTTAAATATTTCTAGTCTTCCATTCACATAAAAAAAAATTATGTAGTATAGAAATGACTGTTGATTGCTTGCAACAGTTTTTTATGTGAGTGTGAAGGTTTGATAAACATCTGAAACTCTTCTCTGCATTTCTTTCCAGTCTCTTTTCATTTTGGTATTTTTTATTTTCTTTGAGTAAGTGTTCAATCAACATAATTTTCAATAATATTCTTGTTCTCCAACATATAAAACACAATTCTTGCTGCATTTCACAGTAACACTAGTTTATTAGTTAACTAACTACACATTTACTTTATGTGAATCTAACAAAACATTTGCTCACTGTGACACAGAACAATGCTTTCTAATATGAGTCACTAGATTACTTGATTGGGTGAAACTCTTTCCACACTGAGTACAGTCGTACGGCTTCTCTCCAGTGTGAACTCGCTCGTGTGATTTCAGGTTTGCAGACTGAGTGAATCAAAGTTGTCACAGTATGAGCACTTGTATGTTTTTTCTCCAGTATGAGTTCTTTGGTTCTGATTCAGTTCATCAGTTCTAGTAAAGCTCTTCCCACAGTCACAACACACATGATCTGTCACTTCATTGTGTGTTTTCTGGTGCAGTTTAAAACTGTCCAGCCTTGAATAACTCTTTCCACAGAGAGAACACACATAAGGCTTCTCATCTGAATGAACTTTCAGGTGTTGTTTTAGTTCTGATGGTGAAATAAACTCTTTACCACACTGATCACAGTTAAATGGTTTTTCTCCAGAGTGAATGAGCAGATGATGACGGAGACCTGATGAATCTTTGAAACTCTTCTCACACTGAGTACAGTGATACGGCTTCTCTCCAGTATGAAGTCGCTCATGTGATTTCAGGTGTCCAGACTGAGTGAATCTCTTCTCGCAAGATGAGCACTTGAAAGGTTTTTCTCCAGTATGAATTCTTTGGTGCTGATTCAGATTCTCAGCTGTATTAAAGCTCTTCCCACAGTCAAAGCACACATGATCTCTCACTTCATCGTGTGTTTTCTGGTGTTGTTTAAAACTCTCCAGGCTTGAAAAACACTTTCCACAGAGAGAACACACATAAGGCTTCTCATCTGAATGAACATTAGGGTGATTATTTAGTTGTGATGAAATAAAATCTTCATCACACTGATCAAAGTTAAAAAAAATTTCTCCAGAGTGAATGAGCAGATGATGACGGAGACCTGATGTATCTTTGAAACTCTTCTCACACTGAGTACAGTGATACGGCTTCTCTCCAGTATGAAGTCGCTCGTGTGATTTCAGGTGTCCAGTATGAGTGAATCTCTTGTCACAGTATGAGCACTTGTAAGGTTTTTCTCCAGTATGAATTCTTTGGTGCTGATTCAGTTCACTAGGTGTAGTAAAGATCTTCCCACAGTAACAACACACATGGTCTTTCACTTTATCATGTGTTTTCTGGTGTTGTTTAAAACTCTCCAGGCTTGAAAAACACTTTCCACAGAGAGAACACACATGAGGCTTCTCATCTGAATGAACTTTCAGGTGACTATTTAGTTGTGACAATGTAATAAACTCTTTACCACACTGATCACAGTTAAATGGTTTGTCTCCAGAATGAATGAGCAGATGATGACGGAGACCTGATGTATCTTTGAAACTCTTCTCACACTGAGTACAGTGATACGGCTTCTCTCCAGTGTGAAGTCGCTCGTGTGATTTCAGGTGTCCAGAATGAGTGAATCTCTTGTCACAGTATGAGCACTCAAAAGGTTTTTCTCCAGTATGGATTCTTAGGTGCTGATTCAGTTCACTAGGTGTAGTAAAGATCTTCCCACAGTAACAACACACATGATCATTCACTGCATTATGTATTTTCTGGTGCCGTTTTAAACTGTCCAGGCTTGAATAACTCTTTCCACAGAGAGAACACACATGAGGCTTCTCATCTGAATGAACTATCAGGTGTTTTTTTAGATGTGATGATGAAATAAACCCTATTCCACACTGATCACAGTTAAATGGTCTTTCTCCAGAGTGAAAACGCATATGAATTTTGAGTATGTATGAAGATGTGAAACTCTTCTCACACTGAGTGCATGGATACGGTTTCTCTCCAGTGTGATCTCTCATGTGTCTGTTAAGATTTTCTTTGTGTCTGAAACTCTTTCCACACTCTGAGCAGGAGTGCAGCTTATTGGCTTTTGTTCCTTGAGTTTTGAAGTCACAGTTTTTCTCTACTTCATTCAGGTCTTCTCTTAGCTCTGTTTTTTCTCCAGAGTGAATGAGCAGATGATGACGGAGACCTGATGAATCTTTGAAACTCTTCTCACACTGAGTACAGGCGTACGGCTTCTCTCCAGTATGAAGTCGCTCGTGTGATTTCAGGTGTCCAGAATGAGTGAATCTCCTGTCACAGTATGAGCACTTGTAAGGTTTAACTCCAGTATGAATTATTTGGTGCCGGTTCAGATCACTAGATGTAGTGAAGCTCTCCCCACAGTAACAACACACATGATTGAAGTCACAGTGTTCCTTTACTTCATTCAGGTCTTCTCTTAGCTCTGTTTTTTCCATGTGATCTAAAATGAACACATCAAGTAGTTATAATCAGTTTAAGGAGGATCATTTCAAGGAAAATTCAAGTGAACAACAAGAGAAAAGGTTTCCGTCTGTGTGAGTATAAAGTATCAGATTGTTATATCATTCTGAATTTGAATAATAAAAATCAATTTGGCACATTGCTTTATACAACATTAAAGGTGCTATATGTATTTTTTTAGCAGCCTCTATCGGTGATGTTTCAGATTGCAACCAATTTTTACAAGAGCGCTCATGCTCGAACACAAGAGGGAGCAGTCATGGTTCACGGCCACACTAAGACTTTCAACATGCCAGAGAAAGCATCACACAACAGGCTGGAAACTCATGTAAACTGCAACGTTACAATAATAGGCTACTTTTATCAGCTTGATGTTGAACTAATGCTCCATGCTCAAACCATGATAACGTTACATTTGTGGAGTGATCTTGCATAAAGCATTTCACAAACTATTCGTGTTTTTTTCACAATCAGCAACGTCAACACAGATGAATATATAATATGATAACGAAAACGGTTAGTGAACTAGACTGAACAATTTCAGTGTAACAGTAAGATCGAAGGAAGTAACATAACTGTACTGAACGTGTCTGGAAATGTGTATTATAAACAATATGATTGTAGTGGATGAGTGACGTTAGACAGTAGATCTAGTACATAAAATAAAAGTTACATCCTAAAGCACCTACTTTTTGTCATCCTGGAATAGTCTTTGGTATTCAGTACATGTCTCATGTATTTATTAGTTATTGCTATTTCAATAGAGTTTACAATTATTACATAATTTCTAAAAACGTGTCATTTATCACAATAAAAATAGCGGAGGTCTCCATAATTCAAACGCTCTGCCGATGTTGATCCGTGTTTTCGTCCTAAGTCGATCCGATTCACGTTTGGCCTGACGAGCTTCAGCAGATACATTTTTGTTTTGTTTTTTATATTTATGTGTTTGTGATGTGCTGGAGGCAGTTTTTTTAGTGATATCAGACTCATGTCGTCAGTGCCGTCACGCATAGACTGTATATAAAAAGGAGAGAGGGTTTGGGAGCGCAAATGCGCGTCACATCCGATGGCTTTCGCAGAAAATCCGACCCGGAGACTTCACATAGAAATAGGAATACTGGCCTTCAGAGGTAACAGCAAAACCCGACAAGTGGACCATTGTAATGTGTTATTACAACCCATTCAGACATATGTGATAAAAAAGGATAAAAAGTTTTAGAAGAAAAGTTACGTATAGCACCTTTAACATAATTTAAGTTTAGAATCAATTAGATACATTTCTAAATCATTTATCATCAATAAACAACTTATTATTTCACAGCCAACAAAGTGTCAACAATGAAGAATCAAGAATGGACACCAACCTATTTGTTCCTCAGTATCTTCATCTTTTATTCTGGATGGTTCTGGATCACTCATGTCTTCAATCTCCACTTTAATAACCTCCATCTCTTCTTTAATAAACTCCATCTCCTCTTTAATAAACTCCATCTCATCTTTAATAAACTCCATCTCCTCTTTAATAACCTCCATCTTTAACAGTCACACAGATTTTAGCTGCTACTCCTGGAGTTTGCCCTTCTCTTGTAGGATGATGGGAATATTCCCAGTATTTATTGGTGAATTGTTGATCACTGTGTGATACTGATGCCCACAGGACCAGGTCTGGAAAAAAAAAGATTTTTAAAAGAATTTATACTGGATTTTTCCACATGCCTGGCGTATGTTTTCAATTGTTTTCAATTGGAGCGCCGCGTTTTTTAAACGCCATGAGCGTAATGAGGCACTGAGCGTTTTTTTTTTTCACGTTGAAGCGCCGAGCACCCAGCGTTTTCATTGGTCGCTGGGAGTTGAAAAATGTTCAACTTTGGATAAAATGCAGCGCTCATCACTGTCACTTTTTACCCAGCCTTCCAATCATAGTGGAGGGGGGGCGAGACTAATACCACTGAATCATGTCCAACGTTCTGCCGGATGTGATCGCTTGCTCGTGTACGTCACTCATTGTTTACACAGAGATTTCGGAAGTTTTAAATTTCACTAAACATATTTAGATTTATCGAAATCGTCTTGCGATTTCCTGTATATCTAAATATGTTTAGATTTTCACAGTGAAAGGTAAAACTTCAGAAATCTCTGTGTAAACAATGAGTGACGTACACGAGCAAGCGATCACTTCCGGCGGAACATTGGAAACGGTTTAGTTGGACATGGCTGTGGTTACACGAGGTAAAAACGATATAAATACTGTTCGTTTTCTCACACAAACCGCTTGTTTCGTGTCTTAGGCCATCAATGTGTACTTACATTTACGAGTCATTAAATTATGTTTAATTTTGACTTCTCTGTGCATGCTCTTTGATGTGGACCCCCTAAACCTGCATTATATGACTGATATAGACAACACCGGTTTGACCGAAAAATGTCAAAATTGAAAATACTGAGGAAATACAGACACCTACATCTTGGCAAAAATGAACAAATGAACCTTATTGTAAAGCGTTACTATGAAATCAAAGTTATAAATTCCTTACAATTTAAAGTTGGGCATAGACTTAAGAATTCATTTAACTAAATGCATTTCTCCAAGCTAATATCACTTGCTATGGCCTTGGGAAAAGGTCAGCCTACCACTTATATAAATATAAATATATATATATATATATATATATATATACGTATATATATATATATATATATAACTATTGTTAATGGCAAGGCTGTGTAAGTGTATTGTTATTTATTATAATAATGATTATTATTATTACAATTATCAGAAAAGGTCGCAATACAATTTGAGACAAAAGGGGAAGGAGCTCGAGCCTCTTTATTTATGCATTATTTTTTATAATTTGTTAATTATATAATTGTATTGCATTTATCCAAACAAAGTGTTGTTATATAAAAACAGCAGAATAATGATGTGTGAATTTGCATTTGCAACAATACAGAGAATTGTAGAGACTTTTTTTTTTTTTTAAGATTTTGTAATAACAATTTTCTGTTTGCACTTTGCAGACGGTCCCTTCTCCACAGCCTGTTCATAGAGATCAACGTATATTGTCCACTGCGAAGGAAAGCTCGTTTTGAGGATGATTAAATTGTATCTTCTGATGTTATATGTGTAGTAATATGTGTTAGGTGTTATTTGTGTAGTAACATTGTTTAGTTCACGAGTTATTGGACGGGGATGTCCGCGAATGTGCGAATAGAAAATCAACTTTACCTAAGTATTCCCGATCTGAGGGCTCGTACTCTGGAGCTGGTTAATGTTAAACTCTGTAATCTGAGAACATATCTCACCTGCAGACTGGAAATACACGTGTTATCTGAAGAAAATAATTCACATTCTTTCACGATTGTTAACAAATCAGCCGCTACAAACTCCAAATCAAAACTTCCGCCCAGAGTCTGACCGAGCGAGGAATCACTTCCTGGGCGAACCGGCCGCTTTTTCACTCTTAAAGGGGCCGCATATTATATCTATATCCAAGAGAACAAAGAGGCGAAACGTCGTTGCAGATTTGACAACAATCGCTGTATGGCGGTGCTGTTCCGCTGTCGCCATTACCGTTAGCACATTTCTTTAAAAAAAAAAAAAAAAAACTTTTTTAAAGCTAAGTCATCTGTAAATCGGTACATTAACTCTCCCTTTCTGAATCAAACGTAATATGAGCTGTTCAATGTTTTATCAGTCAAGATACATACATTAAATTATAATAAAACTAAAGACTAAAACATAACAGCTACTTACTGTCATTCTATGTGTAATAAATGTGTGCATTCACACAATGATTGATTTGTTGTGTGTAATGCAGGCAGAAATGATGTGGTGATCTAATTACCATCAACACATTTATTGTTACTGTTCATTTTGTGATGATCTTCTTATGTGTCCCTTTCACCTACTAACGGTTCATTGTGTATTGGGCTTTTTCAAGGAATCCAATCATCTCATGAAAGGCTGCGTTGCAGAGTTCATTTTTCAAAGAATTTGTGCAATTTGCTTGTTGGTAATAAACATTTAAACTGTTATCCATTATATGTAATGTTGTTGGGTATCACAAAACGGAATTTAATGCAAAAAAGTAGGTACTATCTTACAACGGTTTGCGACGCTCCTTTCCCCCACTGTGCATTACACACCTTGGGGAGAGAATCTACCAAAGCCCGCCTTGAGAGCATTGTGACTAGAGAGACGAGTAGTAGACGAGAGTATTCAGATAGCGCAGATTATAGATAAATATTTTAATACATAGATATAGACTAAGACTAGATATATAGATAGATAGACAGAAAGATAGATATTGATTGTGACTTTCGGTGAATATGAATCTGAACATATGACCGCATTTTGTATTTCAATTTCCTCAAATAGTTGCATTGCTGGCAGAATAGCCATCAGGACACCTCTGTAGATACTGTACAAGCTACATCACTGCCACACCAGGATGTACTCAAAGTTGCATTGGATTCGACCAGGGACTCCCAACTTAAACCATTCCCCCACTAACACCCTAGCAACAGTTTCAGCACGCTGGCCTCGAGTTGGGACAGACAATGTATATTTAGTAAACACATCAGTCATTACTAAGATGCCAACAGATGGCCCATATGAGAGAACCAGTTTCAACAATTGCAGTTAAACACTTTTTTGTTAAGACAATTTTTTTCTGTTTATTTCTCATGAATTGCATGTACTATCAGAAGACAATATA